GCATGGTTACAATACTTTTCGCAACTATCCTCCGAATTTAATTTTCTTTTATTTTTCCTAGGAATTGCCTTGAAATTCTCCTCGGTAAGAAATCCTATGGAATGATTTTCAGTATTTTCATTGCATTCATTCCAGATGTCATTTTTAATCGTACTCCTTTCCTTGGAATTCTACTCACATTGAAATTTGTTTGGCAATCTCTTCTGAAATTATTTCTGAATTTCTTTGAAGATCTCCTGGAGTCATTCTCAGATTTAATTGTAATCCTCCTTTTAGCCTCCCCTTCACCCCCTAAGTGTTCACCAAAATAATACGAGGACTTATGCTCCGATTTCAAATGTGTGAATGAAAAGAACAAGAAATATTTAATGTTTTTTATTTTAAAATGCATTTTTTTCGTTGGAATATTAAATTTTCTTAGTAATGATAAGATTTCGTGAGACTTCCAGGTATTTTCCAGGTAGTAGACACTTGAAGGCTTAGTCATAAGCTTTTTATTGAATATTTCGCACATATTTAAGTGTTTATGAGATTCTAATTGAATAAGTCTAAAACATCCATCATATGCCATCAGAACGACTAATTTTCTTCCCTAAGGTCACTTTTAGTCACTTTTTTAACAACTATAAGTCACTATTTTTTAACGTATTTCTTCAACATAGTCACTAAAATCACTATTTTTGACAGCATTGATCGCTACCAACCCTGAGATATGGATAGGCTAAAGGCAAACAACGCTCATTTGCTCGCATAATCGCCTTCGTTTGCTTTTTCTGTTGGAGAGAATCGAGGCAAGGTTGTGCGTCGTTCTTAGGGTTACCATATGGTATCGTAAAGGAGGACATGTCCTCCTTTTTCAATATTTTTTTCTACATCCTCCTTATGCCAAAAAATGCCCTCCTTTTTAATCCTTGCATTTTTTTTTCCAGTAACATATTCATAAAATTGTTTTCAAAGAGCGCTGTTTGCAGATCTTATTTGTTTAATTATGTTGCAACCTCATCTTATCTAGCAAATGCCATTCGATGGTGGGACTAGGAGTAAACTACACTGCCCATAAAAGCATAACTGTCCCATATGAATAGGAAATCAAGCAAAGATGGGGCAATTATGCGAGTATCGGCAGTACAGCTGTCAACCCCCCTACATTTAGGCTGCGGTCCATTTGGTGAATTTTAACTTATATTTGACAGATGGAAAATATTCAAATAAACCTGCTATTCCACCAGACTTATTTCAGACAAACCAGGAATCAATTTTGACAAACAATTTCTCGAAAATCGGATGATCAACAACACAGGGGTTTTCGAACGTTATAATTTATTTTCGAAGTATCAGTTAAAGTTCATCAATTTTTCTAAATTTTTACTTAAATTTTACCTTTCTAAAATAAATTATAATGTTCGAAAATCTCTCTGTTATCGATCGTGTGATTTTAGAAGTGTTTGTCAAAATTGATTCCTGGTCTGCCAGAAATAAGTCTGGTACAATAGCAGGTTTATTTGAATATTTTCTATCTGTCAAATTTAAGTTAAAATTCACCATATGGAACACAGTCACACAGATTGAATCCAACATGTGCTCGATTTTAACGTTCTGGTTCTATGGGAATTTAGGTATTTCAAGCTAATAACTATGCAAATCGACGCATCTGATTTTGTAAACAATCACTTCAATCGACGATTTGTGGCAACTGCAAGCTCACTACCAGGAACTAACAATACCAGCTAGTAGACGAAAGTGTCTCCTACCTGATGATGGTGTTCGTTTACGTGGGTGAGTTAGCAGTTAAGACAAATCGTCGATTGAAGAGATTGTTTACAAAAGCAGATACGTCGATTTGAATAGTTACGCTTGATTTGTTTAGGCCGCTACCATAATGAGAGCGAAGAGGCACGTGAATCGTGAAATCGAATGTAAGGAATAATATCAATAATAGGAACTCTTTTGTACAGAACGCTAAGCGCGCCTCTTCGCTCTCACTATGGCAGCGGCCTTAGAGTCCTATGCTGAATCAATGGAGAATTAACAGGTTGCTTAGATTCCATGTTGGTTTCAATCAGCGATGACATGTCTCGATAACTTTTTCAAAGGGACGTATCAGCTTTTGTAAACAATGCATTTGATCGGCGATTTGACGTAACTGGTAGCTCGCACTCGCTTACTAACACCACTACCTAGCAGGTAGGGGAAAATTTCCTCTATCTGATGGTACCTAGTGTTAGCATGCGTGGGCGAGCTACCAGTTACGCCAAATCGACGATCAAATACATTGTTTACAAAAGCTGATACGTCCCTTTGAAAAAGTTATCGAGATGTATCCTGATTTTTGAACATGATAAAAGTTGGGATGGTTTTAAGCTGTAGTTTTCATGCAAATTAGCTAGACTAGATCATTTCCAAGTATCAGAAATAAATTATGAAGGCCAGTTTGATGCATTTTTCAGAAGATAAATTGAATTGGTAACTACTACAAGTTATGAACAATCTCAATTGAACCTTTGCAAATTATGAATTTTGTAATAGCGCACATATTAGTAAAACGTTTGGAAAAAAAAACTCATTGTCCTCCTTTAATGTTAAGAAAGGGAATCATTGTCTTTCTTAATCTCCAAACCTCAAATGAAATGTCCTCCTTTTCAAGTTTTTGAAATGGTAACCGTAGTCGTTCTACCATGGTATACATAAAAGGCAAATGGTTGCTTGTGTAGGTGAAAGCATGTACAGAACACAGAATAAAAAAAGGTTAAAAATCATTGCATCGTCTGCAAGGTCAACATATAACATACGCTGCGATGTTCATGAACTTGATGATTGGAAATAGAACTAACATTCATTGTAATAGATTTTTTGTTTGCGTGCGGGAATCGGGAAACGTGATTTTTGGTAAATTTGCCGGAAATGGTTTACCGGGATTTCACGTGTTAACCCAAAAATTTAAAACAGATTCAAAGAGTATAATATAGAGAGTAAAGTAAAACATCCACCTGCACTGTATTGTCCATTCAGACATCATTTAGACCCTTAGCCGCTTACTTGACAACACTTCAACATCAACCGGTGAGCAGTGCACTCTACACTCCAAGTTCCCTTTGTTTCAAATTCATCTCAAATTTCATACTTTACCCATCGAGTTGTTGATTAATCACAATACAAGTTGTGACCAATTTTGTATCGGTAGCATTTTCATCAAAAAAAATGTACTATTTGAAACTTCCATCCCATTAATGTCTCTCCGCAGATCTGGAAACCCTGCCCACCTTCCAAGGGCGCCGCTTGCTCGTGGCGAAGCTGTGGGGTCGCGTCCGCCAGCCAAACTACGTTGGAGACATCCTGCAGAACATTGCCCTGTTGCCGCTACTGTACTGGCGCTTCGCTTGGCCCCCTCTGCTGGCAGTCCTATTCACCGTGGCCCTGCTGGTTCAACGTGCCAAACGCGTCAACGATCGGAACGCGAAAAAGTACAACTCCGCCTGGCAACGTTACTGCTCAACGGTGCGATACATGTTGGTGCCTAAGGTTTTCTAAACAACCACACACACAAACTGCACGACGCTACAATTGAATAGTTTCCATTTTTTTTCTTTGATTGTAAAAAAGTGTTTCTATTGTAAGTTAACAAACTTTTTTTTTCGCTATTTTATTAGATAGCACCAAATTAGACTATCGGACAGTTAGAACTTTTACTTTATGAATAGAGAGTGCGAGTAGAAAAAGTAAGCAAAAAGTTTTATTTGAGATGCAAATCAGTAAAATCAAACGAATTTTTTTGATTGCTATTTGCCGAAAGATTTAATTGTGAAGTTAACTTCTGTGAGTTTGAATTATTCACTTGACGTACAGTTTTAATAACGAAGGAAAAGCATCTAGGCTACTTAGAAGAATCTATATGTTTCTCTTTTTTTCTAATTAGAATGTATTGAATAAGGTTAAGAGAAAGTATTAGATCTAAGGCAGAATTTCAAAATATTTGTGGAGCTAAAACATATCGAGTTTATGAGTTTCATGCAATTGAAGGCAATTTTACAATTACACATGACTATTGTACAAATCGGACTTAAGTGAATTATAAATTAGTTTTCCACTCTGCACACATTCAACTACATGTGACGCTACGAGGGAAAATTTTATTTTTCAACAAAAGACGGCATTTTTTTGCGTATTTTCTAAAATAAGTTTACATTAAGCGAGAAATATTTCACTGTACTATTTGATTTTTTTTTATTGAGCCATGTTCGAGCACACATCCACGAAACACCATCCCAGCATATGCGCACGTACCTAACCTATCTACTCTCCGACGTTAATATCCGATTCCCAGCAGTGAGTAAGAAGCCATCTGAAACGAAACGAGATTCATTTGCTGAAAACAGGACACTTTCTTGTATTTTAAAACATGTTCACTAGGGTGGGCCAACTTTGTATGGCTGATCACAACACCCTGCTTCCCAGTGCGCTTTCGATCTGTATTGAGGTCCCCAACAACTGCCAAATTTGAACGATTTTGAAGAACATCAAAGTTTGTATGGAAAAACGGAGAGAAACTATTGCTTTCAAAAATTCAAAAAATTCTCAATTTTTTTTTGCAATCTTGAGACTTTGATTGGAAAAACTATGCCGAACAAAAAGTTATTATTTGACTTACACAGTAGTTGGGGACCTCAATACAGATCGCACGAGCGGTGGGAGGATTGGGTTATAAAGTTGAGTCACCCTAAGCTCACTGTATAGCTATTTTCGCGGTTTTTTGCTTTTCATTTATCTAAGTCGACGAAAATTGATAGAATCTAAGTTAGTGCTCTTTTAATTGTTAGTTCTTGCTGCTAGGATCCGGTTAAGCTCACATCTATTAGAAATAAAGATTTTAGAACACGAACAAAAAACGTTGTTTTTCTAGCATGGATTGGTGATATCACATGCAAATTATTGGGTAATCCGCTGAGATTAATTGTATTGATAAATCCTTATATTTTCAGTGATAGTAACAATATTGGGGATACATAATATTCAAAGGATGACACTTGAAACTATCAATCAAAATCTGTCAAGATGCCATCACTGACATTGAAGAGATCTTCGTCCATTGTTTGCATGGGAACAGCGGCGGGTTGTAATGCGTTCGGCCGGTTGACGTCGTCGGGGCACGTGAGGGTTAATTGGCTCATTCCCAAGGCTACGAGCGTGTGCGAGAGATCCACTGAGGCGTCATTTTCCTGTAAATATGTATTCAAACAGACCGTCATTGGAAAATGTAAAATGTACAATCGATTTTCAAACGCTGCACTGAAACGAACGGAGTTATTAACACTGTGAACACGATGCCTCCGGTAAAATGTGTAGCGGTAAATTGGCGATAGATTTTGAAACTATTGATACCGAATACATTTATAAAGTATGTAGTTTCAAAAGGCGCAAATAGATTTGAATTTCGCCAATAAATGGTAGAGCTATGATTTTTCACACATTGCAAGTTTGCCGTTACATATTTTAACGGAAGCATCGTGTTCGGAGTGTTAAGTTTAAAATGCTGAATCCCGGTTTAAAGTTGAAGTTAATTTAACCATTTGCGCCCATTGTTTAGAACTTAAAGGTCTGGAAGGCCCACCAGCCGACAAATAAAGGTTTTTGTATATTACAAAATGGGAAATCTGGGTATGAAAATTTCGATCATCTGAACACCTCTCTTTTCGCGATTAGAGTCATATTTACGGAGATAAATCGATTTAAAGGTCTGGAAGGTCCACCAGCCGACGAAAAAAGGTTTTTGTAATATTAAATACTGGGAAATCCGGGTATGAAAATTTCGATCATCTGAACACCCCTCTTTTCGCGATTAAAGCCATATCAAAACACATCATTCCACCTAAATCTGCATTCTGGACCACTGTGCAGTGGGTTCAGTCCGTCGGAACTCGTTAAAGTCGCGTATGATCTCATCCGTAATATCGATTGGACAAAGTTCAAGACTGTGATCGATGAAGCCCTAACTTTGGTAGAAGGGCTTCCACCGTTGGAGGAATATAACTTCCTCTCCAATCTGATCTTGGACAGCGCGCTTCAAGCTCAAACTCGGCCGTTTCCAGGAACGTCTTTCCAGGCAATTCATCGACGGATTACCGCGCGAAACGTCGATGAATACGCTTTGGAACGCGGCGCGAAGGATGCGTAACCGGTCTTCAAACAACGAGAGTGAGGAGTACTCGGATCGTTGGATTCTCAAGTTCGCGCGAAAAGTATGTCCAGTAGACGAGATCAGCCAACCTTTTACAATGCTGGAGCTGTCACTCGCGCTCCTTTCGTGTCGCAATTCGGCTCCGGGGGCTTATAGGATCAAGTTCAACGTGTTGAAGAACCACCCAGACGGCGCTAAGAGGCGCATGTTGGACTTGTTTTGTCAGTTCCTGGAGCTCAATATTGTTCCAGAAGATTGGAGGCGAGTAAGAGTTATAGCCATTAAAAATCTTGGAAAACCCGCGTCAGATCATAACTCGTATCGTCCCATCGCGATGTTATCGTGCATTCGAAAATTGTTGGAGAAAATGATTCTTTTTCGCCTGGACAAATGGGTTAAGATGAACCACCTACTACTCTCAGATCCTCAATTTAGTAGGGGCAAGGGAACGAAAGACTGTCTCGCGTTACTTTACACAGAAATTCAGATGGCTTTTGTTAAAAAAAGAGCAAATGGCTTCTGAGTTCTTGGATATTAAGGAGGCTTTTGATTCAGTATCGGTTGAAGTCCTTTCAGACAAACTCCATGCTTTCTCCATTATTTAATAACTTTTTGTATAATTTGCTGTCAGAGAAGCATATGAGCTTTTCTCATGGAAACTCTACAGCTTCTCGATTTAGCTACATGGGTCTACCCCAGGGCTCATGCTTAAGCCCCCTTTTGTATAATTTCTTCGCCAAAGCACTCGACGCGGATCCGGCTGAAATGGAAGCTGTTTATCGCATTGGTGAGGAAAAAGGAGTCTTCATAAAGTTCAAATCAGAGGAAGCGATGCTCCATGCTCTGACATACAATTCGGAGGATTTAATCTTCCATCAACTCGAATTTCGGACACTTTTAAAAGTTGATTATCTCGGTCGAATATGATCCACATGTCTTGTAAATTTTAAATTTTTTTGACTAGTGCCCTCCACGATAATCTAACATTATTACTTTGTTTCTAACTGGATGTAATATTTAATTAAAAATGAAAGTGTCCGAAATTTGAATCGGAACGGTACGCATGTTGCATGCTGGTGTGTGCCACCAGAGGTACCCGACAAAGAGCTGCATAAAGTGCTGGGGAAATATGGAAAAATTTAACGCATCATCCGGGAGAAATATCCAACTGATCTGTGTTTTGAGTTATATACAAGGATACGCGGTATATTTATATATATGGATGTGAAGAAGGAAATCCCCACGTCGTTACATTTCTTCAATCGCAAAGGAAATATATTTTATGATGGCAACAAAGATAAATGTTTTCTGTGCAAGGCGGACGGAAAGCAGCAAAGTGAAATAAAACAAAACAGCAGTAGTACGTATGCTGGTGTAGTGGTGGAAGATGCGTCGCTAGTCATTAGCGACCAGGAAACGGACACGGGGTTGGAGAAAATAACGAAATGGACGTGACAACCCTGCCGACAGACGAGAGTAGCGGAGAGCATGCAACGGGAAACGACGTTCAGAAGCAGCAGCAGCGATCACGATTCGGGTTCAATGAAAATGAGGAACAAATTCGGGAAAGAAAGAAGTTGCGTGCACGGGAGAAGATCGCTTTGTCGCCGCTTCGATCGCCACCCAGAAAAATCCTATGATAAAATGCATTTTTATATCTTTTTTTTTGTATTTTGAGTACCAAAATTGGTATTCCATGTTACTCGGCTCCGCTAAGGCTCTGAACCATTTGGTGGATTATTTTAACTTTTGATTAAAATTTGACAAATGGAAAGTTATCGATTAACCCCGAGATTAACCCTGCTATCCGAGTGTGGTTATTTCTGACAGACAAGAAGTTAAATGTTGACAACCGTGGCTGAGTTCTTCTCGAAAACCGGTCGATTGACAGCACAGGGATTTTCGAACATCAAGAATAACTTTCGAAATGTCACTTTTAACCACGAGTTAAATTTAACTCGGCAAATGGTTCACAGCCTAAGTTATTTTTATAACATTTGAGCCTGCTAAGGCTCTGAACCTTCTTCTTCTTCTTTTTCGCATTTCAAGCTTATTGCATATCGCATTTTAGCTTATTGCGTGCTCTCAACTTAGTGTTCTAGACGAGGGGCACGCAATAACCTTTAACTCCTACGCAAGCCTTTTTTAAGTACAATAATTACAGTTAACTACATGATTAATTACTTTAATTACGAGCGTCGGAAATGTTTTGATTTATTTACTTTTAAGTACAAATTTCAGTTTTAATTACATAAGTAGTACATTAAGTAGCATAAATTAAGTACATTAACTCCATTAATGTACAACGAGAAATGTACTTAAATTTCCCCCGGCGTACCGTTAGACCCTTTCGTTATTGGCCCGTGAAACAAAAATTTCACAGGCCCTTTTGCTACGTTAAGGATAATGCAGGGGACTGGCAACCCCATATCAATCATATACGTTTGACAGTAGGCAAGATCACGGGCCTTATTTAAATACGGCCCGCCTGACGTATACATGAAGGAAAGGGACGCAAAATCGTGTTGTAAGCAGAAAGACAAGAGCAGATGAAAGCATCAAAAACATGGCCGCCAGCCAGGCCCCTGGGATAATGTCAGCTCTGATAAATTGTATCGGTACCGCTGTTATGACTTCAGAATAGACCCTATAAACATACATCTCCTGGGACCTACGAGGAAATCTACGTTGGTGATTGGTGCCAATTCACATGCAACGATCGGTTCGTGATTGGAAATGTAGTCGGATTTCAATACTGCCGAGGTGTTGGCAGGGCAATGAACTATATCCTGGATCACGCCCCTGTCAAAGCACCGGAGAATGCGACAATGAAAGGAATGTTTGTTTGTGCTACCTGGTTCAACATAAGAAATAACGAATTTAATTTGGTGGATGCGAACGAAACCAGAATTACAAAAATTATGTTAATCTTTGCGTGCCTAACGTCTAAATTTGCATAGATTTCAAAAATCAATTAGCTCTAAAAACATAATTTCTCAATATTTTTCTTTACAACACATTGAATTTTGTCTTGAATCTATTGAAGTTTCTGAATACATCTGAAAATATTTTGATCAATTCATGGTTCCTGAGTTATATCGGTTCCCGTTGGGGTCACTTTTGGTCGGCATTCGGCTTTATTGTTCTGTAATAAGTATACACACGATGAACATCATGTTTTTTTCTCTCAAACGATGTAATTGTACCAGTGGCAGCTATTTCGATGGTTCACAATCACATTGGGCATCCCGGAAATGTTCCGGTGCCCCGGGGAAGTGGCCAATTCTCAACAAGAACCAAAACCCATCATGCGACATATCAAACTTCATGATTTTACAAATCTTGGCCAGTAATGGCCTTATTTAAAGTCCATGGTCACACTAGCCCTTCCGGGAATGTTCCGGTGCTCCCGGGGAAGTGGCCAATTCTCAACAAGAACGAAACCCATCGTGCGACATATCAAACTTCATGATTTTACAAATCTTCGCCAGCAATGGTCTTATTGAGAGTCCATGGTCACACTAGCCCTCCCAGACATGTTCCGGTGCCCCCGGAGAAGTGGCCAATTCTCAACAAGAACCAAAAACCCATCGTGCGACATATCAAAATTCATGATTTTCCAAACTTTGGCTGGTAATGGCCTTAATGAGACTCGACGGTCACACTAGCCCTCTCGGGCATGTTCCTGTGTCCCCGGGCAAACTTCAAACTTCATGATTCTGCACGGCTAATAATGGTCTTAGACAGTCCACAGTCCCATTTAATTGTCCCCCCCACCCCCGGGTAGATATCCAACTCCCAATAAAAACCAGAACCCCTCGTGTGACATATCAAACTTCATTATTTTACGAAAATCCGTCGGTAATGACCATATTAAGAGTTCAAATTTGCTATCCCAGACAGCTGAACGGACACTGGAGCTGGTGGACATTCACACGCTGCGCTACTTCCGGGAAAAAATCGCAGCTGGTATGCAATTGTCTTCCCAGCACGGATAACTTCAGTGTGTCAAGTTGATCGGTAACGATCATTTCGTGTCCTGTGCATATGGGACTCATCGTTTCCTATCGGTTTGGAGTTCTGCCCATAGTATTGTTTAGTTGACCCATGGAAAGATGAACAATGGGGAGGCGAATTTCATAAGTGCTATCGCGTCAATTCTGAATACGGATGTGATCATATGTTGGCGATAATACAAATAAAAGCACACAATTGGTTTGAATCATCTTAGTGTCTGCAACCAATACCTGATTATATTTTTTTTGTCAATGAACTCTGCCTTAAATCTGTTAATTATTATTAGTATAATAATATTAAGTTTGAAAGAAATATTGAAATAATCGAAGAATTCACGCGTAACATCAGAAAATTAATGCAAACGCACATCTTCCATTGAATCTGTTAATTCAGGCACAAGCTAATATCATCATCTGTCGAACTGTGCTGCGAGCATGGCTTCAAATTCGAAAAATTTTTGATCGGGAGGAAATTTGCTCGAGGAATTGCTTGAATTTAAGGAAATGTAAAATTTGAAGACTTGTCGTCACAACTAAGTGATTCCCATTTCATTTGTATGGCAATCACGGCCCTCATTCTGAGTATCACTTCCTTTTCACTGTATATTGTCGCTAGAGTTGTAAACCGATATAACCCACTCGTGACAATCGATTTTATTCTAGTTCTGCATTAAAGCGCATTATTCAACGAATACAGTGCTCTAGATACGACATTATGTTGAACGTACAAAATGAAAGTGAAATCGATTGTCGCGAGTGGATTATTTCAGTTTCCAACTCTAGCATGGTGCTCCAAGAAATTTAGTATAAGTATTCGCAGAATTGGTCATGTTTGTAAATAGTCTAGTAAAACATTAATATGCGTATTTCAGGGTGTAAGAAGAGTTTTTGAATAAATTAATTCATTCGAGTATGTGTTAAAGGTTTTCTTCATTTTTTTTTAATAGTTCAAGAATAAGGATTTGGGTACGTTTTTAATTACATTTGTGTAGCTTTAATTACATTTATTACAGAAAATTAATTTTTAATTACATTAATTACGTAATCAAATTGAACTACATGTTTTAATTACAGTAATTACACTGGCACTGCTTTGATTACGCGAAATTAATTTTAATTACATGACATACTTAATTTTCATTTTTAATTACTTAATTACATAGTTAAACACCTTGTACTTTAAATCCAACGCAGTCAAAAAGGCTATTGCGTGCCCCTCGGTTCTAGATGCACTTCCACAGTTATTAATTGAGAGCTTTCAATGCCTGTACCATTTTTGCATTGATATGATTGTGTGGCAAGTCCAATCATACTTCTATGCCCAGGGAAGTCGAGAAATTTTCCAACCCGAAAAATTCCTAGACCGAACCGGGAATCGAACCCAGCCACCTCCAGCATGGTCTTGCTTTGTAGCTGCGCCTTTACCGACTGAGCTAAGGGAGGCCCCTCTCCGCCCATCTCTCCCTCTGAGTATTTCTAATTAAAACACGACTTATGCTGTCAAGTTATTAAGACCACCCGTACCGGTGCGTTGTTATTCAGGCTACTAGTTTGACAACTTTAGCCGCTTTAGCCGTTGCTATTTTAGGCTCTGAACCATTTGGCGATTTTTTTTAACTTTCCATCTGTCAAAGTTATTGATTAACCCTGCTATCCGAGCGTGGTTATTTCTGACAGACAAGAAGTTAAACTTTGACAACCGTGGGTGAGTTCTTCTCGAAAACCGGTCGATCGACAGCACAGGGATTTTCGAACATAGAGAATAACTTTCGAAATGTCACTTTGATCGTGTTGATCGACCGGTTTTCGACCCACCGTTGTCAAAATTTAACTTCTTGTCTGTCAGAAATAACCACGCTCGGATAGCAGGGTTAATCGATAACTTTCCACCTAATCCACCAAATGGTTCAGAGCCTTGGGGTATTGAGGTAAATCCGGAGTGATTTGAGATTTGGGCGTAATTGTATTTGTAAACAAACAGGTCAATCGCCGATTTCTCGTGAATAAAAGCTCAATCTTATAAACAAACTATACCAAATGATAGAGGAATCATACCTCTACCGCATAGTGTTATTAGTTTTCAAAATTAAGCCTTTATTCGCGAAAAATCGGTGATTGACGTGTTTGTTTACAAATACAATTACTCCCAAATCTCAAATCACTCCGGAAATGTAATCTATATTAAAAATGGAACCGAAATACAAAATTTCATCAATTTTGGTGCGCTGCAACTATTTTACATAATTGTGATTACATTAGCAAAAATCACCAGCCCCTCGATGGGACTTTGTATGAGAGCAATCTGTCAATGTGATAATTTAGTGTCAATCAGTGAAGTTATTATTTTGCTGTAAATCTTGATTTAAAAATCGAGATGAAATTCTATGGGTCCGAAAAAAATATCGTTGTGCTAAGAAAACGAAGCTCTTTCAGAAGATGTATAAAAATCGAAAAAAGGGAAAAAAATCCCAAAATTAAAGAACCCGATTAGCTTGGGATCGAATGTCTGCTATTTCCTAATCCAAAAGATTGAGCATGTTTCTTCTCGGGACTCCCTGGATAAAATATTTGTTAATTGTTAAACATAATTGTTTGCTTTCAATAATTGCGCTGCTGAATCAACTAGAATAAATATATGAGGAAGAGGGAGATTTAAATCAATGCTGATTATTTAAAGCTTGATTGAAAATCTTAGGATGGACCGAAAAGTAGTGGATCACCTGTGCTACCATGGAAAGTCAAAGATTAAGATTACCAGCAGCGAAGGCAAAGTATGGACTATGTGTCATAATAAAAAACCGAGGTTATAATGGAATTCTTTTTAATCTTGTTAGGGTAAATTTAAGAATGATACCAAATGTTTGCCTAGTGATTTTTTTTTTACAACGTTTTACATGTTTTGAAACTAGTGGTATCATTAGATTATATGCACATTTTGATACTAATTATGTAAATTAAATTGAATTAAACAATCGAAAACTCACCTCCTGATGCAGAGTTCTCTCCAGATCTTCCTTATCGTCAAATTCAGTTCGCAGTTCACCTTCTACCCTTGTCACGTTTGCTTTACCTTCCTCACATATCTCCGAATCCATCTCCTCTGGCGCAAATATCCTTATCTCTGGCATTTCTACATTGTTGGTCATCGCAGTTATAGGGGCACCTTTCACTTTCATCACCAACGGTTCCAGCTTCCCGGACGGAGAGGTCTGCATCTGATCAAGCTGCAGAAGCGAACTTCTTCGTTTGCTGTTCCTTCTACCTTGACTCAACAGGAACAAAGAATCCGGTGGCATTGCCCCCTTAGTGGAGGATGATTCCATGATCAAATCCTCGCTGTAGATGGTTTTGAAGCGGGGTGATGGTTGGAATGTTGTCTGTTCGTTGCCATTAATACTGCGACGGTTTTGTGATGTTTGTTTTTCTGGAGTTCCTAGCAGAGTCGACGAGAATTCAGGACGAAGTGAAATTTCGCCCAGAGTCGACAGTGATGAAATATTCAACGTGCTATTCACCGGTAGTGGCTGTTTGGTTTTAAGTTTTCCATGCGCTGTAATTTTGTTCAACATCGACAGCGGATTCATTCTTTCCTTCTTGGTTGGTTTAGGAACAGCGAATACGTTACCGGGACTTGCCGGGGCTACTTTCGGTTTCTTGACAGATCGAGGCGTTTTAGGAAGCTGCTGACAAATACTGGACGAGAGCAGTCGCATTCTGAGATTCATCTGATGAATTTGATCATCATCTAAAAGAGCGAGTCGGTTTCGCTTGGAGATTGGTCTACTACCGGCTTCCAGATCCTCTTGGAAATTGAGGGTTATCGGTGGTGTATTGAAGATTTTGTTCCTTATTCCGAGATCTCCATTCAGTTCATCTGTGGCATCGTTTTGATTATTTAGCTCCTGGAATTTCGCATCTCCAAATGGTAAGGTCCTACGCAATGATGACAATTCGTGATAAATGCTGTCCGATTTGAGGGCAACTTTCGAAAGTTCCTTCATTTCGAACTTCAATGACTCGATGCTCCGAACTGAAAACCCTGCTAGATGCTGACTGATATCGGGTAGAAGGAATATGATTATTTCAAACAGTTTTACGGCGTCTATTTTTCCATTCTCGTCAAACACCTCTCGAAAATAGCAAGCATTGTTAGGAAACAAGACCTCCAGACGGTACAGTGTCTCCTTCAGTTCGCCCTCTTTGATGCCAAGAGTCAATTCCTTGGGTTCGAGTTTCTTTTTTGCTGTTGCAATTACTTTGTTATATTCAGCCGTAACATCCTGCAGCCGTTGCCGCTTTGCTTCAGTTTCTTGGAAACTCGTCCTATTGAATGTTCCCCATAATTCCATCAACTTCTCGAAACTCATCTGCTTCGCCGGTCCTTGACACTCCGCAAACAACTTCTCGATCCATTCATCAATCTCCTGAATCCTACATTGTATCATCGTCAGATCTTTTTGTATAATTTCCCGAGTCTTATTCCCAACCTCTTCCCACTCCTGATGATAATCCACTAGTTGCCCGATATCACTTTTGCTGATTATCTTTCCACCAGAATTCACCCCAGTTCGTCGCAGCTCTTCCTTCATTACAAATTTTATCAAAACCAACAAAAACTTCATAAACTTCAATCCGCCCGGGAGTACCACCGTATGCGCTTTGATCTTCTCCATGTCCAACTTTCCTCGATCAACTAAACTATTCACATACTCCACGGTGGAACTACGAAAGGCACTCTCGGCATTCTTATCAAAAATAGGCCAGTAGAACCGTTTACGGAACTCCTTTGCGTCGTGTACGTTGAACAAGAAGTGCAGGACGTGGATGAAAGCTTTGGTGTTCGGCTTCAGGAACATGCCCTGCAAGTAGTTCCATTCCGAAGGTTATGGCACACAAATTTAAAAACTTTAACACGAAACCTACCTTACTAAATACAGTCCGGAACTGGTCCGACGGTGAATGTCTTTTGGTGAGTACATTCAGGCAGTAAAATATCGCTACATCCAAATGATCCTCGCTGGCACCAACGTTCGCCACACTGGAGAGTGTGTTTACTCGCTTCATACAAACGGTTTTGTTCATATTTCCTAAAAACACTTATTGTTTTAATACCTTTTGATATATATTGACTCACTAGCGCTTATCATAACGCAAAAATATGTATTCTTTAGAATAAAAAAAAATCTCAACATTCACGGAATAAACGGCCTTCTAGCAGGGACTGAGGACAATCGCTTTCATGACAGATTGCGCTTTTTGAATTTCGAACCTGTCAATAAAAAACACAACATATGCATCTTACCGGCGGTGCATCTGACAGCAAAAGTGACATCATTTTGATACACGGTAAATAAATAAGAAATTTAAGATGATTTTAAGAGCAAACTTTCATTACGTCGAAAACTGAGTGGTAGAGCAAAGGCATATGCGACCGTTTGATTTGGTATTGATCAGTTTCTTACTGAGGCTGTGTTCCATTTGGTGAATTTTTACTTAAATTTGACAGATGGAAAATTTTCAAATAAACCTGCTATTCCAGCAGACTTATTTCTGAAAGACAAGGAATCAATTTTGACAGACGCTTTCTCGAAAATTGGCCGATCAACAACAGAGGGATTTTCGAACATCTTAATTTATTTTCGAAGTGTCAAATCTAAGTGAAAATTTTCCAAATGCAACACAGCCTGAATAACAATTTAAAGCTTATTCCGAACTTAACCAAATATTGGCTCAAATCGAGCAATTGATTACAAATAATGAAAAAGTCACGAAAGAGTTCTCATTTTTGATCTCAAAATGGCTCGAATTTGTGAGCGGGGTAAAGAGCATGTAAACAAGGACAAGAAATTGAAAATTTTTCAAGCAACATAACTTGCAAATTGAAAGTGATCGACTCCGCACCACTCAGGTCGAAAGTAACATTCGCGCCGATCTGAAAAAAAGCATGGTTTTGTTTTGATGACCGAAATTTTTTTCATATGGAATGCTAAAGAAATTACTTTTCTTCAGCATTTCTTGACTCAGTAAGCAGTTCAAAAGAAATCGGTAAAGGAAAGATCGATTACATGCTGTGTGAACAGCCAGCGCTGGCGGTGTAGTGGTAAGCGTGACTGCTTTCTCACCCCAATTGGTCTGGGTTCAATCCCAGCCGAGGTTGGTGGGATTTTTCTGAGGCATAAAAATCTCTGGTCACTTCTTCCTTAGAAAGGGAAGTAAAGCCTTCGGTCCCAGCCCATGTGTGTTGAAATGGGTACGATATCCTACGCAGGTGTGATAGCTTCCTTCGTCAATGGATGGCAATCGATGTTCGTCGGTGATTGGCACTAGATTGCGGAACAGAGACCGACGTTAAATAAAGGAATGAAGAAAATTAGTATCGTAATCGATATGTGAAGGTGGCGCATTCTGAATGAAATTTCGCTTTCCTTGTTGGTGATGGTTGGACCAATTATTCCGTTACACAGCAAAAAAAAATGTAATATCGATCAATGTAATTCAAGCTGATGTATGAAATAATGATGTAATAGCAAAAAGCAGATACAATATTACATCAATGAATGTAATTTTGTACGCAAAATCGAGGTACATCGTACAACGTTATATTACACAACCGATGGATTGACCTGGTTGCAGCAGTAACATAAAAACTGATAATTGATAATTTTAAAATTTGACACCTCGCTATGATCTCAAAATTTAGCAAAAGACACCTCCCTATAGCTGTAAAATTATCTTTTGGGAATATTCCTCAAACATTACTTTTCCGTTTCCTTTTCAGCTGCGTACCAGGCTTTAAGCGGTGTTTTAATCACGATAGCGGATCGGTAAATGTTATGGTTCAAGATATCATCCAAATCATTTGTGGAATAGTTCAATAAATTGGGTTATCGTTCGGGTATGGTACTTTTTTATATAAGGGTAGCTTCAAGGATAGCTTTCATGCTAAAAAGTACTGGTTTCTGAGCCAAAAGTTATTATATGTACGTTGTCACTCTACACACTTTGTTTGCATGTGAATAATGGAATGTTTGGCAACCCGGTATTTTGACAGTGTAAATGTTTGTTTGGAACAAAAAATAATAATCACAAGTATTGGGATTGGTCTGCGAGAAAAAAATAAAGTTTTGGAATCCGAGCCAAGGGTGATCCAAAGGCACCTCGGATGGAAAAGGTAATACCGGATATATTGATTCGACCGGAGGATCCCCTTGTGAAGGCGGGGACCGCTGCAGATACTCGGAAAAACCCAGGTCAAAACAGCATCGAAACACATCTCTGGTGGCACTCGAAATCTACAGCCGCTGGGGAAATGTACTGCTGATGTTGCAATCATTGGAACGTGATCACGCTGTCGGGCACGGGAGAAGCTCTTCCGGGGATCTAAATCGTATACAAAGATCAACGATTGCTACCTGCAGCGAACCAGGATAAGACATATGCACTGTTCAGGTGGTCAAAGAAACGGGACGAAGTGGTTAAGTTGCTTTTATCGGCGGTATTTGAAAATAATGACACTGGTGCATGTGAATAAAATGTTCCTGCTACTAAAAGATCAAAAAGTGCCACCAAAAGCGGTTCTCGGTGGCGGTTGTATTCTCAACTCTCACCATCATCCAGTTGTCATTGCTGGCGTCTTTACTATTTGCACCGGAATGACCATGTTCTGAGGAGCAACAACCATAGAAAATTAAATGCCAACTAAAACCAGCCTATTTCTAACGAATCAAACCGAAACACAATATAGAATAGAGACGTCGGTGGTGTAGTGGTAAGCGTGACTGCCTCTCACTCCAAATGACCTGGGTTCAAACCCAGTCGGTGCCGTCGGGATTTTCGGAGGCAGAAAATCTCTGATCACGCCTTCCTTCGGAAGAGAAGTAAAGCAGAGTAAAGCCGTTGGTCCCGGTCCATGAGTTTGAAGGGACGATAGGTAGGGTGTCGGTAGCATTGTTACTCAGTGAAGAAAACTAATCAAGGAAAAAAGAAGAAAAAATAGTAGTGGGCCCAGTTTCACTTCCATTCTTTTGTTATATCTCACATGAAGCTACAGAGAAACGGAATGCGATGAGTTTTAAAACCAACTTCTAGAAAGTAATTTTAGTCTCGGGAGCAGCAGCCGTCAGGGTGAGAAATGATCAGGCGTATAGTAACAGCTCGGTTTCACTCCACAGTTCCACCATAGAGGTAACTCTAAGGCTGTGTTCCATTTGGTAAATTTTCACTTAAATTTGACACTTCGAAAATAAATTAAGATGTTCGAAAATCCCTCTGTTGTTGATCGTCCGGTTTTCGAGAAGGTGTATGTCAAAATTGATTTCTTGTCTGTCAGAAATAAGTCTGCTGGAATAGCAGGTTTATTTGAAAATTTTCCATCTGTCAAATGTAAGTGAAAATTCACCAAATGGAACACAGCCTAAGACTAGAAGGTTCCGAAATAACGTGCTCAACTTTTTGGCTCAGCTCTGGTACTCTCTTCGGTCCCAACACACAAAAAACGAAAATTGTATCAGTAAAAATATTAACCTTTCAATTTAAAAGTGCCCAAAAATACGTTACTTGAACTATGAAAATATTTGAAACAACAAGGTTATTTTCAATCCAAAAGTAGAACTTTTGATTTTAACTTGTAGTTTTAAAAGTGCAGATTTTCAAATCAAAAATTGTTTTACTGTCAAAACAACTTCTTCGGGGGTAGGTTTCTACTCGTTTCTGGTTAGTTTTTGAATAACGTGAGTAAATAAAAATAAAAACGCGCAAAACAAGAATTGAAAAGCTTGCTTCATTAATTTCTATCGACCAATTTTCGAAAACAAATCCCTGCTGTATTCACCGGATCATCCGTGAGCTAGACCGGCTGAAAATATATACGAAATACGGCGATACCACAGGATGAATATGGTAAGTATATCTACGATAATGCCTTGTTTAGACTGCAGAGTTTTTTACGATAACAGAATCGCTTTCTTTTCGGAAATTTCAGCATCAGTCAAAAGTAAGATCATCGTTCCGGATTGGGCCACACCGGACTCTGAGCCAGATGGTTGAAATAGTAGCACCACAGTTTAAGGTTAAAGCAGGGGGAGTGGATTGCATGGACGGCTAAACGGATGCTGACGATGATCACGGACAATTCCACAATTAAATATTTTTAAATTGTTTTTTGTTAGTTTTATATTAAAATAATATATGTACGTCAAAAATAAAAACAATGAACTTTATTTTTAAAAAGAAATAAAATTTAATTTGTTTAACTACGCTTTTATTTTGAAATAAGATAAAATTTATTCTGATCTAACCTACTCTTAATTTGACAGTTCTACAATTTCATTTGAAAAGTAGAAACTTTTAATTTGATATTTCCAAAATTTAATCATAAAAGTTGTGACTTTTAAAATCAAAGGATTCAGCATTTTTATTTTAACTGTTCATGTCTTTTGCAATTGAAAGTTTCTGACTTTCTACCAAAAAGAACCAATGCAAACTTTTAATTCTACCAACGGTTTTTTTAATTCTATTAACGTTTATTTTTTGTGTGAAGCTAACCGATTCACCCCTCGAAACATAAGAAAAACCAATAACCCCTCATTTTATCTGTCAAACTTTCATAGCGAATCAAAACAAACACAGTGCAGTTCTAGAATTTCGACTAGAATTGGGTACGTTAATCGTTTGCTTGGGACCAATAGGCTAGTCAAGTAGTGAACCAATTTAAAATCGTTAGTTTCGTATTGATTGTTGGTTCCACTTTTACCGAAAGTGAGTTACTTTTTTCTCACTTTTGCATAAAATTGAACTAGCGTGTATAGGAGTGTGCGACATGCTGTCAGTTTTTGTTTTCAACAAGCGGTTAAGTTACGTCAAAACTCGAATTTCATGTTCTTTTTCAAAACAAAACTGTTTCCAAAAAAATGTTTGCAACAAAGTGATCACATTACGGAAAAATCTCTATATTAAACATAGTTTAATGAATTCAGTCTTCTATCTAGTGAAATTCAAATGAGCTAATAAGCAACGGAGATGGATCACCAAGCAGGAGAAGAAGTGCACGCCGGAAGTCACGGTTTTGCGAGGCAGCGTAAGCCGAAAACCGATCCGCTCTGTTGCCCAATCTGTGGGGTAACGCTTCGCTCGAACGAAATCGATCAACATTTTGCCCTGGAGGTTGAACGACTGGACAAAATTCTCAAACCGAAAAGGAATCTCCATAGCGTAGGCGGATATGGAACGGGAACAGAAAGGGCTTCACCGGCTGTACCTGGAACAAGCGCAGATGGGAGTGGATCAAGCAGTGCGGGATTAGCAAATGGACACCGATTAATGGAGGATAATAATTCAGATGGTGCGTTGGCTAGTAGTAAACCGGATGAATGCTGGGGTACTTACCAAAAGATCAAGAATAACAGACAAGCCAGATTGAAGGTTGATCCGATTTTGTTTAGAGTTCCAATGTAGGCAATGTTAAAGGGTTTTGTTTTTACAGATAAAGACACGGAAACGCAAAACAGAGGACAATGTTTGTCCGGTATGTAACAAAGCGGTTACGGAGGAAATTACTGATCATGTTGAGGCGTGTCTTCGAAGAAGCGAAACGAATGGTTCTGGTAGTAATGGTCGAGCTAATGATTCGGACGACGATGATGCCAGTATCGATGTGGAAGGTGAATCATACGAGGTATACGAGTGGGCCGGACAGACAAGGATCCGTACCACTACCATGGTTCATCAGAGTGGAGCTTTTCCGAGCACAGCAGTTCGTGTAACAAATGCTGAAGACACAGACGATGAGTTGAATGTAGATGGAGATGAAACGCAGATATATGGTCCTCCGCAGTACTCGGAACGTGACGTGGTTTATCCGGTGGCGGAACAACGCTGCAAGGACTCCTATCTTCGAGGTTTGGTCATGGCTAATGAGCCAGTCACAGTAAAACGTCCAGAGGTAGACAATCCTGGCGAAGGTCCTAGTTGGGGTACTGCAGTGAACCTGCCTCTTCACCCTGTTCCTACAAGCAGTGAGCATCGGAATGGTGAAAGCACTGACCAGATTATAGCATCACTCAAGTCCAAAATCCGTGAATATGAAGGGTACATTAAGAACAGGCCCAAGTGTTTAATTTGCATGGATGATTTCAGGAAACCCGTGGTTTCCATTTGCTGCTGGCACGTTTATTGCGAAGAGTGTTGGCTACATACGCTAGGGGCGAAAAAGCTTTGTCCTCAGTGCAGCATGATAACGGCACCTATAGATTTGAGACGAATTTATCTTTAACGAGGTATCATAATAATGGCTACACGAAAACTGATGTGTCCAAGTGATTTCAGAATACAGGTTGAATTTCTGATCTTATAGATACCGGTATGAATGAAAATGTCGTTCGAGTGTTGAGAGACGTAATATTGTACGGACTTAGCGCAGCTATAATTAAACTAATTAAAACGAGGACAATAATCGATCAAGATGGAATCTCTTCTGAACGAAGCAACGATGATAATATGTATTACCTACATAATAGGCGTGAGCATGAGCAGAACACGTTTCCAAAACGATATACCCATCTATCTATACCTAATTTTACGATTTTGACTACCATTCCAGGCTGTTCCACTGGTACAGCTTTCATTACGTTTGGCAACCTATTGTAATAAATGGCTAAAAGATCCATTTGAACATTTTTATACATTTTATTGAATAAACATTTATATGCACTAACATACAACAACTTGTTGAATTAGAAGATGACATCGACATATCAACTACGCGAATAAACTAGATAGACCAGCTTTGGATCGAATAGGTAAAGAAATAGGGGCGTTTGAAACATAATTATCTGCTTTCCCGTTTTTGGTGCGGACAACACGGCGCAGTTTATGCCGTTTCAATAAACTCTTCAGAGACTCACTGGCGGTCTTGCCGAGGGTTAGTAGATTGGTAGATAGCTTCAGATCTACGGAAAGACCCTTTCCATTATTCGGTTCCAGTTGTCGCTTGCCCATTTTTTGCATTCTGCATATTGCTTCTTCCCGGTTTCCGTCCAGAAGATCTAGCCTAATGTTACACGAGTGGAATTTCGGATCAGAAAGTGGCTCCACTTGTCATTTGTGAACACTAGCGCACCTGGCGATAGAAGGCATCTTCTGCCTGCAGTTAAGATAGGCAGCATGCTATGGTAGTGTGAGTGCACATAGAAAGTCCGTGTGGAACGCTACCACACACATCACTTTTTGATTCATCGATTTGTTTGCACTTCCCCTTCTGTTCTGTGCCAATGTGCTTGACGCCTTGTCGACAACGTACGAGATGAGTTGCTTGTACGCATTTTGAGATTCCAGAATAACACCCAGATCTTTTACATGGCTCACACGTTGAATTCGATTATTATCCCCAGAAGTTCATAGTGAAATGTGATTGGTTTTTTCTTCCGAACAAAAGTGACCACTGAACACTTCGTATGGTTACCCAACAAACAATTTTAGCTGGACACTAGTTTATACAGGCAAAATAAGCCATTTTTTGCCTGTTACACTCAATTCTGTTTTTACGCAATTTTTTATTTCGGTTTTGCACAGTATTTTTAATACCACCTGATTTTTCTTTGATTTTTTCTTTTAGATTTTTTAAAATTTTAGGTTGAAAATTAAGATCACAGAATAGAGTGTATAAGCTAATCGGCAGCTAAAATGTTTAGTTGGATAACCATGATTCGGTTTAAATTACACCAGAGGCTGGCAGAGGCTTCGAACTGACGGTGAAGGAAATGGCAGTCATCATTCGAGCGGATCCGCAAGTAGATTTTAAGATCATCTGCATACGACAGTCGTGGACCTTCGATGACCAAATTTACGTTTTGATAAAACTATGCATAAAATGTATGGCTAACATTAGGTAAACATTATTGTTCTAACGGAACAGGAGGGTTCAGTGATATCGAAATTAAAATTGGCTGCTGTAATTAATCACCTAGTTCTTATATCATTCCTAAACAACATTCCTTTAAATTTATATGAGAACTTAAGAATATACCTGAAATATGTGGAGCCTGGTTCGGAATATAACATTTTCACGGCTGACCTGGTGATGATCGATGGCCTGTAGTACTACCTGTTCACTGACGACACGGGATTCGTACTACAATGTGCTCTGGTATGTCCTAAACCGAGGTAATTAGCTTCGGATATATAAGTAATAAATATGACTTGTTTGCTGCATACACAAAGTTCAACTGACCAACTCAGACCTCTCAGATCTGCCTTTATTCAGATCATAACAATCCTTCCTCCTTTAGAACCGACATTAATCCATTGATAAAAAAACAAAACTAATCAAAATTCGAACTCATGACTTAGCATGAAATAGTCCTTACTTAACTCGCCTCACAATTCAGAACAAAGCAATTCAGTCAAACGTCACTTATCAAATTTCAAACAGGTTCTCAATCTTTTCAGAGCACTTTCATTAAGTTTTAAACATCAGATTTTCATCATTCGATCAATCCACAAATTTGAATTTAACATATTTCTTCTTATTCTTCTTGACACGAATTCCAGGACTCATTTACCATTCATCACTGTGTTCAATGCTACTGGACCTTCTGTTAGTATTCCGTTGCTGGCTCATCTTTACGATTCAACCTTGTAGAATTTCGTGTTGCGATGTGACTACGTCTCGCGTTGTTCAATCCTTTAGTCCTGAAATCAGTTTTTGGGACCGCAACCGGTTCCTCCAGAAATCCGAGAAACTCCTCGTCTGAATCCTCTAATTCTCTCGGTCGCTTCATTCGTTGTATTGGCACTTTGTATGGGTCAACCGGGGGTCAACAATTCTCAGCTGATTTCGGTGAGCGGTGCAATTGTGCCTGAATTGGTGAAATTACGTTCTGATGTTCAAGAACCTTCTCTCTTAATTTGAACGGCACGTCATATGCTTTTCTAAATATTGGTCTTTCATATTTAAGGAACAGGTCAGCTTCAAATCCCTCCATGGTATGCTTCTGCTCTAAATTCTGTTCCATTTCGTTGTTCAATGTGTTGATACCCATAGAATTTCCAAACGTATTTCTCCAACTTGGATAAAATGTATCCAACCAATTTCTACCAAACAATGGAACAAACCGTCTTGAGCAGTCAAGTATTATCAAAATAACTTGATACTGAACATGTGTGACAATTTTCTCTTTAACTGTGAGAAATTGTCCAAGATACGACAGGAATGTCGAAACTCAATGCAATCAAAGTCAATTAATAGTGCTAATGACGGAATCTGTACCACAAAAGGGAGAAGTGGTCCTTCGGTGCAATTGCACACTCAAAGCTCTTATTCGGGCCTGCTAGCCACTCACGATTAATAAGGTGTACTAGCCAGGAATGAAACGAGAATGATTTCATTCAAAAAACTCAATCACGGAACGATAACATCAGGACTTTGCTACTTAACGATATAATGTGCATCTCTCAAAAGCTTATTACTACAGACATACATACATTAGTCTTCTTCCTAACGCGTATCGTTGGGGGCCCCGTGATGCTGCTTCACCTGCATGCTCATGTTGCTGATGCACCGCCGTGTCGCGCAATCAGGTCGTTGCACCGAAGATCCACAACGTCACTGTGGATGCGTGGATGCACCGCCGTTTGTCGCGCGACAACAAACAGTCGCCGTATCGGTGTCGAGCTACACCGTGTTGACGCTCGGTATTCAACCGTCACACTCCTCTGTAGCCCCACACGGCACTAGTGTATCAGCGCTTGTCACGCAGCAGTCTATCGTCGCACTGTCCACTGCCTCCCGTTGCCCCGTCTGTGCACGTCGCACTATTGCCTTGTGTGCCGCACCACTGCACTCAGCCGCCTTGGTGAACTATCACCGATTTGTGGATTTATCGCTCCTGGCAATCCACTGGAATGCGCTGACGAGACAATAGTGTCTGGTGGCGCGATTTGAGGCGACCCGGGATGGTCCGCTCGACCGGGTACGATCGTCAGGTGATCTCGTGAGGAACTGAGGCTGTAAATAAAGGCCCTCTGTAGAGGTGGCACTGCGTTAGCCAGTCATTGGTCATCACTGATAATGATCAGGTTACCTTCTGAGAGCCTTTGGTATCTCTTTGTCGCAGGTTGGATGATCTCGATCGTTAGATAACGTAGACGATCGTACTGTAAAATCGGAAATTGGTACTAATCCAAATTTGCATGAATGACTTTGTATTACCTAATGGCGTGTTTGAGTCATCTTGACCTATTGTCCTGCGATTTGTCGAAACGGTGACGGTTTGGAGAGCCCTCTCGTAGATATTCCGATTTGAGTAGCTCGAGTTCCAGAAGTACATGCAATACTGTAAGGAGTTCGTAAGAATGCTGTGTACTATGCAAAAATATTCGTTACCTCTCTGGGCGAGTTATCCGGCTTTAGCGAATTTACCATGCACGTGTCTTGTACGTGTGTCGCATTCATTTACGGCACATCGAATCTATCGATCTCTGGGACCGTTTGAACATACAGCGAGCTCACTATCACTTAGTGATATTAGATCACTTTTAACGTCTGTTCGTTCAACACGATCACTTTTAACGTCTGCTCACAAATTTCAGGCATCACCGGCTGAAACCAACCACACGCCTGATTTCAATCCTTACAATTGCCGTCCTATTGTATCTCGGGCTAATTGTTCGGCGGGTGCGACTGTGCGAGAATGAGATAAATCCATTTCTATGGACCTCTCCAGTGACGTCGTGTACAAGGAAGGGATAATGATGTTGCATTGAAGATTTGGTTGCTTTTATTAAAAGTATACACGGTAACGCGCATTTTTGTCGGCATAACATCGAAAAGTGTAACACATGATTGGCTATCACATTGACTAAAATCTCTCCAAAGATGCTCAGGTGCTGCCCATTAACGACAACTAAGCGACTGCTGCAACTTGTTGCCTCGACATGACCAAAATGCTTTCTGTAGGTTTCCAAACTAATAACCGTGACTGCTGCACCACAATCTTTTTCCATATTTAGCATAATTCCTTCTACATGTACTTCCACAAGACACGGTTTACTGAAACGACTGCTCGCGATCATCATACACGGATAATCATCCTCATCTTCAGAATCTCTTATCTGTAGCCTCTTGAAATCATATGTAGCTATCAATTTCAATTTCAACCGGCGCTTCTTCTACAAAATTGACACTTTTACGATTGTTTAATTTGTAGCAATTACGCTTTACGTGACCTCTTTTTTTTTGCAAAAGTTACATATTACGTTCACGTGAGGATTTTCATTCTTATAAACTATAACGATTTGAATAACTGGCTCCCGGTTGGTCATCATAATAATTTCGACGATCATATCGATTGCCACTGAAATGTGCATTGCTCACGGTCCCTACTAGTGCTCCTGCTTCTGCTGCGATAACGCCTATCGTAACCACGCGAAGCAGATCAATCTCTTTTGTCCATATCGTTCCATTGCTTTTCATTGCCTAATCTATATTTCACCGTCAATTCCTTTGCACGAAACTTAGCTAACTCACTCCGAATAACCATTTCTTCTACCTCCTTCAACGTCATGTCATCTCTCATCAACAGTTTATATTTCAATTCTTGATCCCTCAATCTTTTTTTAGCTTACTAATCATACCATCATATGCAATATCTGATATTTCAAGCCCCGGATAAATCAATTCAATCTCCTCAAAAATAACCCGACTGCTCAGCGCGATGAAAAGGTTCTTCTTTTTTATATCTGCAATATTGTTCAGCTGATATAAGATCTGCATCCGTTTCTTCAAGCTGGTAAAGCTAGAGCCACGGACATAATGGTCTACGCTCCCAAAGCAGACATTTTAATGAATCAGAATGTATCGAACGGCGATCACTTTACAACAGATCGAAATAGAAAAGAAAGAAAAAAACTGTGCGACTTACTTGAGCTTTAATTCCTTACTCTGGTCTGCCGTTACCGTTATTCCAATTTGCAGTGATGAACACTCCTCTGGCGTTACTGTACTCTGCACACCGATCCGCCTATGCTATAAAACTTTCTCCACTTTTTTTCGGGTTCTCTTTTTTGCCAGACGTTCGACAGTTTGCTCTCACTGCCGACGATGCTGCTTACTACTGGACTCTCTCAATCTCTCACTTTATCTCCAAGTTCACCGTAACTACTCAGCAACAAGCTTGTCTTTACTATCGTAATCACTAATTTCGCTTAACTGTTCGCCGAGCTTTTCTCAGTGACTCTCGTTCTGACTCACTTTTGACGCAAAATTTCTTTGGTAATTATCGCTCACCAAACCAAATAAGATTGTTTGCTTCATTCAATCTGCAACACTTTTTCGGTTTTATATTATACTAGCTTAGTGTGCCCGGCCTTGCCGGGATTCAATATTAGCTTGAGTTTATGCATTAATTAACCACTTCATTCGAGCAGTTAAAATAACGTTTAATACCACTCGAACTTTTAAATAAAACATTATTTTAAGATGTTTTCTTCTAGAACCACGAGAAAAGTAGCCAACATTTGTGCGTTTCATAAAAAAATATAAATTAGTTGGTCCAGTTTTGTGAAATCGCTGGTAGAAAGTCACGCCAAAACTGCTTGACAAAGTAGTCAATTTAAAAAAAAGGCATGCTATATTGAACGTAGCCCCCCCCCCCCTCTTATCTAAGGGACTACCCCCCTATGACCACCACATGCCAAATTTAGTTCCATTTGCTTGATTAGTTCTCGAGTTATACAGAAATTTCTGTTTCATTTCTATGGGATCCCCCCCCCCCACTTACATAGGAGGGAGGGGTCTCGAACCATCATAAGAACCTTTCCCGGCCTCAAAAACCCCTACATACAAATTTTCACGCTGATCGGTTCAGTAGTTTCCGAGTCTATAAATAAGGGTCAGACAGACAGACAGAAATTCATTTTTATATATAGATTATTTTTTTCTCCCCCCCCCAACTAACATTTTCTGCTTTGTAAGCCTACTTTTGCAGCGTTGTGCTGTAAAGTAGCTGAAAAAAAGCTGTAGATACAGCTATAAGCAGAAGCTAGCAAAATTGTTTTGTAGAGCGTTTACTCAACTTTTTCACAACCATTATTCAATTTACCAATCTCACTGAATAACAACAGCCAATAAACGCTAAAGTCACTTTTATATTACACATCCTAATCAACTTTCAACTTGTAGCTGCAAAACAAAGCTAATAAAGTGAATATTTTACTCATTTGATTTTTTTTTCGTTTATTAAGGACATTTGATGGCTTCTACACAACCAACCACTCCACAGTGGTCCAGAATGCAGATTTAGGTGGAATGATATGTTTTGAGCTTGAAATTGAAACTTTAGACTAAAAGTCTCTTCTACAAAGTTGTTCCTTATAGTTAGGCCCTCATTTTTATGACAATGAATTCTAGGGTGGTTCCTATTATCATTAAAATCAAAAATCTAACTTTTTTGTTTGAATAAATTAAGGTATACATTCTTGGGCAAAGTTATAGCTAAGCTAATTTCAAGCAACTTTGTTGAAAATAACTTTTTTGTAACTCTTAAATTGGCCAATTTAGAGCTATTTTCTTGAATTAAGTTAGGGTGGCTCTTAAAAAACAGTAGTTTTGCTCTAGTTTTCTTTTTTCGAATTTCTCAGCAAAGATGTCTTCAGATAACTTTTAGATCTTAAGAAGGCGCAAATTTTTGCTGCTCAAAGCTTGTCTATATCTTTCGCCGATCAAGAGTTATTGACGTTCATTGGATTATCTTATAGCGCAAATTTATTAGACTTCCACATAACAGGAATATGTCATATTGGTTCAGTGTAGTAAAGCTCACAAACCACCGGCACGAAACAGTCTATCCGTATTAAGTGATTGTAACACAATTTCTTTCCTGTTCCACGGCTCTTTTCATGCACGCTTCCACTAGCCGCTACAAGAATAACGTTGTTCTTTTATTTCACTACCTTGCTTTTTTCTTCACTAATTGCTTTAAACAGAATTTTCCACTCGTTGCTACTGCTATGTCCCAAACCGGGGTAATTCCAGTGGATGGATATGGCTGTCATAGCACTTAAGTTTGCTGCGTACCGAACATCTGCAATGTTGTCAGCGGTACCATGATATGTTTTGTTGTTTTGATGTTGAGTACGTGTATTCAGCTATGTCAAACCCCTGGGGTAATTAGCTTCGGATATATAAGTAATAAATATGACTTGTTTGCTGTATACACAAAGTTCAACTGACCAACTCAGACCTCTCAGATCTGCCTTTATTCAGATTTCCTGCTTCACCTAAACATCACTTTAACGTTTCACTCTCTCTACGTTAAATATTAATCACGACTATTCTACCGATCATAACATGCTCAAGACTCACTCATTTCGTTTCAGCAAAAGTGGAAGATCAAGGTCATCGCAAGAAAATCACAAGCTATATTCTTCACAAGGAAACACAGCCCTCGCAATCTCCCTCAGCACCAAATAATTACCAACGGGCAGGCGATACCCTGGTCAGAAGAAGTCACATATCTCATACAGTTTGAAGAAGTGCGATAAACTGCCAAGATTACAGTGTATCTTGTCAATATTTTTTTTACTTTATTAAACAAATTTTTAACCTTTGGCTAGTTCTAGAGATGGATTACACTATTTACTATATGTCAAGCTAATAAAATCATCCAGAAAATGTAAATTCGTGAAATAGGATTAATATTTAGGTCATCAAAATTCGGAAGCGATTTTCTAGATATGGTGATTTTGGAATTACGCCCTTTTCAAATGTTAGTCTAGAGTTCATCTCCGACAATGAGCATTCATACGGAAGGAAAGCTGCTTACAGGTGACATTGACTGCCCAACACTGCTGTCACAGCTAAATATGTATGCCCCTGAGAGGTCTCTTCGTCAACGCGACTTTCTGTTTTTGGAACCACGGAGCCGGAATTATACACAACACGAGCCAATTCGAGCAATCAGCCGGCAATTCAACAACTTTTTTTATATGTTCGACATAATTGTCAGTTGAATTTTTCAATAAACAATAACAATAAGGGCGTAAACGCGATGATCGATTCTCTTCGTCGATTTTTTCTTTTGTTAATAACTCGCTAGAATTAACGTTTCTCGGTGCGTTTGCTGTTGCTTTTGATAGCCAATACAACCTGTCACAACTCTGCATTGAACAAATTCTGAAAAATTGTTTCGCTTAACTGTAGCAATACAAAGAGAAAATCGATGAAGAGAATCGATCACCCTTATGCATGCTCACTGTCGAAATCGTCTTCCGTTCAATGCTAACCTATATAGCCTTGGTTTTTACTTTAGAAAAGGAAGTGAATCATGCAGTGGTTGCCAGTTTTGCGAAAGCAAAAGCAACAAAGAACTAGGGTTTTCAAACCGGTGGACGGAACTCAAATACCTTCTCCTCAAAGGCGGCGATCCCACGGAAAGAATTTGAGATCTAGTAAGGAGCACTGATAATATTATAGTTGGTTGGTTGGTTGTCTTTATTAAGGAGATTTTCAGCCAGACGCTGGTTCATCTCCGGATATTATAGCCCTAATTTCTACCGTTTTAGAGAACGCAGACGAAGAAGGAGATGCGATTTGTCAACAAAGTTAAGCCTAACACGCTAACTTGAAAGTACTCATTAATGAGTAAAAAAAAGACCCATTTTGAAGAAAAGTGGCTTAACTCATTAATTATTAAACAATTTTACCCATTATCTGTTACCCATTAATGATTAACAATTACTCATTAATGGGTAACAGATACTCATTAATGGGTAAAAAATTTACTCATTTAATGAGTTAAGCCACTTTTCTTCAAAATGGGTCTTTTTCAACCATTAATGGGTACTTTCAAGTTAGCGTGAAGGACACGATTGATGGAATCCTTTGCAACTTCGTATTTTCACAGGGCCACATCTGACGATCTAGTTAATGTACAAAATTAAAAATGAATCTACATGTTTGCTGCAATAATTTTCAGATCTGTATGACTGCATGATTAGTGCCAGTGGAGTGATTTCATGAACCTTGTCCGTAAGAACAAGAGAGAAGAATTAAGAATTTTATATTTTCATTCTTGTGACCCGAAATTTCTGAACCACCAAAACAATTTCATAGAATAGAATTGAATGATCTAGGAGGATTGCACCGTTCCGAAGAGGATTTCAGGGCCATGATATTCTGCCTAACTCTCCACTTGTTATCATGTATCTTTCAAGTTATTCATATTTATTTACTCGATATGATGACACATTATGGCACCTCTAAAGCAAATGTCACATAGGTACACGCAATACATAGATAATAGCAAGTGAATACACATTTAGAAAACTTCGCCTTACCGTGCTTCTATGACACTTATTATTAGCTCTAGATCTCATACATTGATTCTAATAAAAAGGTAAAATTGAACTGTTACTTACTCGCATCGGATTGCCACTGATTCCCTTGTCTTACACGTCGCTTCCACTGCTCGCGCGGCTACTGTTTTTTCTCATGCGTTCGATGGGTTGCCTTCCTTGAATGCGCTTTCTCTTGGCCAACGGGCTCGAAGTCGGACGCATTGATGCATTGCCAATTGTTTCGTAAGGTCTCGTGTAGACGGAATTGGTCCGTCTTCGCTTGGTTCCCGACTGGTCAAACGATGAAGGCTCGTCCAATTCAGATGAGGTACAGGTTGTTTGTCGCCCTGGTAGACGATTTCTCAAGAATCCAGCAAATGACGACGCTTTCTGCGCCAAGTTTAAAGAGAAGGTAGCGGATCCGCTATCGGAGCCACTGGAATATTCGGGGCTATCGGTGCCCAGATCTTCCCGAATATCCGTTCGTGATGCAAGCCTAATAACGTTCGACACTATGGTCCACAGCTTTCCGGTACTGGGAACTACCGCTGAGGGTTCCTTTTTCAGTTTGTGGTGCGAATTCAATCTCGTTGGAGGTAGAAAAACATCGTCAGAATTGGAAGTGTCGTTGCCATTATGTAAGAACGATTTGAGGCCCGTATCTTGCAGTGCCGAACAACTGAAGCTGCGTGGTGGTATGGAGCATGGCGTTGCCCACACGTCAACGGTTTCATTTGGATCCAGATGATGCTCGCCAATTCGGGTCATTTCCGGGGTTGTAAAGGATATGGCCTTCTTCAGCATCGCGCCCGCAATTTTGGGAGTGTCCTGGTAGTAGCTGGGGAACGCCTTCAGTTTCGCAAACTCGCTAGCAATCATGCTTTGCTCAACGATTTTGTGATTGTCACGGTTTTCCTGATCCACATTGTCAGTTTTTTCAAGGGAAGCTTCGTTTTGATGAGTTTCGAAATATTCGGAAATGGGTCTACTAACGTCATCCAACTGGTAAAGACTAGAATCTTCGCTGTGCGCTTTCGAGGGACAAGATATTTTGGCATTCTTATGGTTTCCAAAGGACGATTCACTGGAGGACCGCTTCAATACAGGAGTTGTTCTGAGATCCAGTGCTTTCCGAGATGGAGATCCAACGGTGCTATTCGAGTCACTGCTTCCTGTTGAATTGAAACTCATTTTGCGCTGTGTGCCAGGAGCCAACATTTTGGAGTAATGGGTATGCTGGGCGATAGCTCTTTGGATACTTTTGGACATGACATGTCGAAGGGGAGTGGCAACTGCCTTGGATCGGCTTTTGACAATAGCCCGAACTTTCTCCAGTTCATACGACGTTGGTGAGATTGGTGTGTGATCGTCGTTTCGGGAATCCGATTCATTGCCACTATTGTGAATGCTGGACATTTGCCCCAATGCACTAGCATTCGATTCGTTCGAACATTTCATTTTTGGGACAACTGCGCCCACCATCGGCGTTGATGTAGTACGCGCCATTTTTTTACCTGGACTAAGCTGTCCTGCATCGCACGTAATGACCGCGGAAATGTTATTTGAGGCATTCATACTGTCGAAGCTAAGACGACTCTTTCGTTTCCATCTTAAATTAATTTTGGTTAACGGTGTCAGCAGGGCCTCGTTTGGTTCTCCAATTTCTTCGATGGGATCCGTTATTGCGAGCAGCTCTTTCGAAATGGCCGGTGTTGTGATCAATGCTTTGGTCTTGATTGCGGTCGCTGGAATTGTTTTGCTGCTACGGTCGGCATTGGAATGATTCAACGTATCGGTTCTGTTGTTTTCATCAATGTTTTCCTTATTCTCCACTTCAATGGAATTTTCCACGGGAATTTCCTGGATGGTAGGAATATTAGGACTACGCTCCAGACTGCAAACATGGTCCATTGTGTTGGCATCGTTTTCAGCGAATGGTGTACATCGCGGTAGCGTCTTAAAGTCGGAAGCAGTGAGAAATACCTGGAAAGGGACGTGATATGTTAGTTGTCTACATATGTAGGTTCCGATTTGATTGTAGGGGATCTAGGGGCAAGATTGTTTGTGCTTGGTGTTCCATATTATGGATTTTATATGAGTTTGTAAACCGAACGGCAAGTTTATGAAATTGCCTTGATGTATCATCAATATAATTTAAATTAAAACATATTAAAAGCTGTTAATAGATTTTTTTAAATTCATGTCAGCTGATTTAGTGCCCATCCTAAGGGCAAAGCGTTCATGCGTCCGAAATGGAATGAAACCCGTTTATTAACAATAACTTGATATTCTAAACCATATTAGTGACCACTTTTATTGGGAACTGTTGAATTTTACGATATTTTTCAATACAAAACAAGCGGCGCCGAGGTGATTTTCTGAGGTATAAAATCTCTGATCACGCCGTAGTAAAGCCGTTGATCCCCGGTCCATGAGTTTATGGGTCGATAGGTAGGGTTCAGGTGTGGGAACAGCACTCCAGTATTGTTGATGACATTTTAATTTGACACAGAAATGGAGTATAGTCGCTATATTCATAGTCTGGCGGATAGAATTTCGATCTATCATAAAGCGGAAACAATTCAATCTATTTTAGACCAACAATTGAAAAGGTACTATGAACTTTTATTAACATAACGTTGATTATTCTTTCCTCGTCAATCGAACGCAAATTACCGGCATCATCGGATAGGGTAAACTTTCGCCAACCCAAAGATAATGTTAGTTTGCGTAGGCGAGCCTTGAGTCACGAGAAAAGGGTTTACGAAGTTTTGTTCGCAATAGCTGATGTGCTCTTTTCTGTTGTTGGTCGTGATTTGCTCGATTGATTCCGCTATTTGACAGCTCAATTGGTTCCCGAGATTCTATCCGCCAGACTATGAATATAGCGACTATAAAATGGAGGAGTGGCACTGTCGTAAAAATACCAGGGTTCATTGTAGGTGGTTGAAGTTTACGCATTTACGAGAGTGTAAAATTTATGATGCACTGTGTAAATATCCTTATCGATTTTTATGAAGGTATCATCTGGAAAGTGTTACATTTTGAACTGTATATAGTTTTTTTTTGTCGTGGAATAGTCCTCCATACCGATATTATAGGAAACGACCGTTGAGTTCGTTGCTTTTTACCCTTCTTCCAAATATCGGTTTTGTCCACCAAGCTTATCAGGTTCTGATAATTCTCTCAAAATTGTAATTCATTTGGATGGGAGCGCATACTGCACTGGCCCTTTCAAGTTTATAGGAGAATTACTATGGGAAAAGTAAACGTTTTGTTCTTAATGTTCTAGCCCTTCGATATAGTTATAACATGTTATAACGGTTGTCAAATAATTGCAACACAGAAACCACCATCAAGATAGCGCTATAACATGTTATAATCAAAATCTCATCGAATTTTTCGTCATGACAAAACGTGACAGTTTTGTGATTATCGTAATTACTAGCTCATTTATTACTTTTAAAGTTACTTGTACCGAGAAAATCGTAATAATATATTCACTCTACCGATAACATACGGTTACATGCTTGAATTAATCTAAATCAGTTAGAAATGTAAATGTAAAAACCGTAATAGAATTATTCTCATGAGTGCTTGATCATTGGAAAATGACAAGAAAACGACTGATAGGTAGTTTCGTCTCGTGATAGTGAGAGGACCTGTTTTCTCATTCTCACATGACGGCGGTGATATTTACCATCTTTGGTTATAACTCTGTAGTCTGAACTAGAGTCGGTGTATAATGAGTCACGCCAAGAGTGAAGCCAAGTCTACCTATTGAACTGTCAAACCGGCTACCTATCGTGCAAAGTAAACAAGCATTACGATGCTATGAAAGGTCCACGAAAGGTATTGCAATTAAATATTAAATATAACCGAAGAAATGATCATATACACGCAGTGAGCATTACATTTGTCATGCGATACGTTTTGTAATGATCAGTAATGACAATTTCTACTATTTTTCCTTAAGATAATTCCACAAAATCACTGATATAATGATATACTACAGCCGTTATTTCTTTTCCTCGCTATAAGTCATTTGAAGTTGATGCAGAAGTCCTCTGTTGCCAAGTTAAAAGATAGGGAATCTTTCGAAAACCGTGATGCGAGTTCAACTGTTTTTCTCTTGGCGTGACTCATTATACACCTACTCTAGTCTGAACGTACTATAACCTTCGAGAAAGTTTGCTGCTCTTATGGGAAATTTTTTATCAGCTACAACTTTGCCAAAGACCATTACATTTTGATTAGAATTCAAGGTATTAATTGATTTCGAAACCGATAATTTTCTGACATCATCAATCAACTGCTTTCAGGGCAACACTACATCTTGCACTTATGACATAGTAGCACAGACAAACATACATAACGCATTGAGTAATTTTCACCGTAAAACATGTATGTATGTATGTATGTATATACAATCCAACTTCCACTGACTGTCCGGCAGTGTTTTTATGGAAGAAAAATGTTTGCAATATAATCTATTATTATCTTATACTGATCCCATTGCAAACAATTTTAGCCCGGAAGTTGAAAGGATAGCTCTGTTGAGATTCAGTAACCCATTTCAGAATGACTGGTCACTCACGTCCATTCCGAGGTTACTTTCACTTACAACAAGCCCCGCATACACGTAGTACCGATATAAAATGTATGTTGGTACTGCGTGTACAGGGTGCGTGACGAATTTTTGCAGTAAATTTCAAATAGTAATTTCTCATGCTTGTGCATCATGTTTTAGATATATTTGGCAGCACTGGATAGCTTATACTGTTAGGTGTAAGATTTAAACAAACAATGTTTAGTAAACGTAAAGATGTCGAAACAAGAAAGCAATCTGTCAGCCGTTGTCGCTTTGTTGCGCGCCGGAGTATGCATGAAAGAAATAATTCGGTCGGTAAATGTGTCTGAAATAACAGTGTATAATATTAAAAAAAGGCTTGGGAAAGTGATAAGACGGAGCACCTGCTCATACTGCTAATAAAGCACAGAAATGGCTTACGGAAAATATTTCGTAAATTTGGGAGGAAGAAATTTGGCCCCCAAGCAGTCCCGATATCAATCCGTTGGATTATTTTGTATAGGGCGTCGTAAAAGGGGGTAACAATAGAACCCCTCACACCACACTTAAGTCGCTAAAAGCCTTGCTAAAAGCTAAAATCAAGGCAGTGATGACATCTATGGATCGAAACATTTTAAAACGTGCATACTGCAGTTTCCGGAAGCGTCTAACTACAGTCGTCAAAAGGGAAGGCAATTTTTTTGAATAAATTTACTTACAACTTCCATATGTTGCGAAAGAAAATAAATCGCACAAAATTCATTGCTAGAATAACTAACTGGTGTATTTTTTCTCAAATATGCCATTTACTGCAAAAATTCGTCACGCACCCTGTACACTTCCATCGTCAAAGCAATTCCTGCTTTGTAGATGGCACGTATTTAGTAGGATGCATTTCATATTTTTATATCTAGTTGTAGTCAGTTAGATCTCACCGCTTATGTATTGTGTCCTTTTCAACAGCACTTAATCGATTTCGATGGAAATTTTTTAACAATTTTGTTTCGAATTCCTCTTGATTCATCTGGTGGCAGCCCTTGCTTCCATTTGCATACTGTTTCTTTTATCGTTTCTCTTCTCTAATTCCACCAATTGCTCAATATTATCCAAAGCCGTCACCAAACTTCCTTCTCCCATTCTTTGCGAGTATGCGCTTTTTTTCACTCTTTTTCTAAAATTTCATACGGAACTTAACCCAGTATTTTCACGTACTCTAGAGGTACCTGTTTTGCCCGCGAATCGGTTGCGGAAGATTCCCTCAGAGAAATAACGTTTTCTCCTCGACAAACACAAGCAGCGTGCTTTAAAAATTTATTTTTCGGAACGGGTTCCTCTCGACGAGGACACATTTCTTAAGCTTTTTGTCTGAATCACGAACACCTAAAAACACTTGAAATCATTGCAATCGTAATTTTCACTGTAAAACATTGTCACTAAAACGGTACCGCCATCTGGTGACTACACAGTCATGGGCAGCACACTGAACAGATGGCGGTAGTGTGTAAACGTCAAACTCAAAGAACATCCGGAGACGAACCAGCCAGGGCTAAAAGTCTCCTTAATAAAGATATAAAAAACTCAAAGAAATTGAATATGTGTTCAATCAAAAAGTGGTCTTCATCAAATTTGTAGCTGGGAAATTAGTACCGATAGCAAACTTTTCCATTCATCATTACACCGACTGGCTAGAACGATGAGAACAAAAAGTTCACTTTTCCCATAGTAATTCCCATATCAACTTTACATGGCCAGTGCAGTATGAGTTCGCATTCAAATGACCTCAAATTCTGAGAGAATTATCAGGGACTGATTAATAATCGATTGATCTTGATGGAGCCCAAAATTTACTGAGATACAGAGCAATTTTGTGAGGTCTATAATAGGCTGAACGCGATCGGACTGAATGGGCCATAAGATTTTAAACAGTGAGAGATTAATTATTCAGAAACAAATTAAAAAATTGTTTTAGATATCATGAACTTGATTACAAATGAGCTCTAGAGAAAATTCTTGGAGACCTCGAAATAAGAAAATTTGTAAGTTTACACTCTGTATTCTGTACTGATAGAAATCTTTAAAAAAAAACTATGAAACTTTTTCGTGATTTGTGACACATAAAATTCTTAGTAATCCTAGATTTACAAAAAAAAAATCAGTATTGTGATTTTTTTTTTCAATCTGGGACAGAGAAAAAATCAAATATAGGTTTTTGAAAAATTTCTAAGATTGCACATTTTGCACTGAAAAAACGTTAAGGCGTTGGGACTTAAAAGAATTTTAAGGGTTTTAAAAAATTTAAATATTTGATGCATAGAATTCTACCGAGAATACCTGTAATTTTGGGGACAATTTAGAAAGAATTAAAGAGTTGATTCCAAAGAAATGCTGAGAGGGTTTTCTAAAAACAAAACTGGTAAAAAAAATTTAAGGGAGTTCTGACCAGAATTCAAAGATAATGTTTGAGATAAAGTCCTAAGAAATTCTGAGATGAATACCAAGGGATTTCTGTGGAGAAGAAAGGAAGTTCTGAATTGAATTCCTAGGTAATCGTGAGGAGAATTGCAGGTGAATTTTAATGACAGTTCTAAGTGAAATCAGATGAGTTTTGAACAAAAATTATAAGCAGAATTTAAAACGTGTTCTGAGGATTATTTCTAAAAAAAATCTGAGGAAGATTCCGAAAATATCATCAAGGGTATTGCGAGAAAAATATCTAAGATAAATAAAAATAAAATAAAGTAAAATTGTAGGAAAACTTAAAAAAAAATGTTTAAAAAAGATTTGAAGAAAATTCAAAAGAATCCAAGCGATTTCTGTGTAGAATTCTGAAAGATTTCTGAGCAGATTTTTGAGTTAAAAAAATAATTGAGAATTTATAGATAACTGAAAAGAGATTTCCCAGGGAACATTTTAGTAAGTTTCAGTAGGACTGTTGTGAACATGAAATATTCATATTTTTCCATGTCATGTGTAAAGAACAGTTACCATTCAAATTTGGTATTAAATCTGGTTTACATACATATATTTTACGTTTAGTCTGCGAAGGTTCGTGATAAAAAAAAACAATGTAGCAAAATTGTTCTTGCATCTTGTAAAGATCTTCGATCACGGTACAACTCCTTAGTTTGAACACGGAATTAAAGTCAATGGAAACTATTCTAAGTTTCTAAGCCTAGCCATGCACATCCAGAAAAAATACAACTTATACTTTAAGTGGCCGTATGTCAGGTTTACTGAGTTTTCCCGGTTCTAAGTCGCATTTCCAGATTTCTTCCGGATTTTCCGGTTATTTCCCGGTTTGCTGTCTACCCTATTTTTTTTTTCTATTGAAAATCAAATAAGAATAACTTTTATCATCACGATTAAACATTTTGCGAACTATACAAAATTTGGGATTTTTATGCGAAAATCACTATCCTGCCCAGTGTTGGAAAGTTCATTTTCAAAAAAAGTTCTTTCGCAGTTCTTTTGAGAATCATTTCTCTGAAGAACTAGCGATGCGAAAAGCGAGATGTTGATATTTTCTTTTTCTAGACTAGATTTATGCATGATGATATTTAGGTTGCATACATGTAGGAGCTAACTGTGCGTTAAAATTGGTGGGAGTATACATTTAGGATGCATTTAATACACATTATAAGGTTTTCATTTTCTATAACTCTTGTTTTACGTTACTCATAACAGCAATTCAAACTTTAATGGCTGCTCACGAGTTAACAATAAAAAAGTTCATCACATATCGGGAACGAAAAATTGTGCAAGGAAGCTGGAACAAAAAATGTACTCTCTCTTGCAGGTGAGTCAAAGTGGGAGTGATATTAGTTCCTCTCAATCTCAAACAAGAAAGTTCGCTCGGGAAATACCGCTTTGCGAAATTCCCATCGATTATTTCCCTAGTGAGAAAATCTCGCTTGCGATAATGAGCTTTTGGCGATATTTCCAACACTGATTCTGCCCAAGCTGAAACCAGTTTTATTCCATTCTTGAGACTTTTTTCCTCTAAGAACGACTATTTTGATCAAGTTCCATGAGCGCGAGCAGGAGTTATTGAATGTTGATACATTTTAATGTTTTTGTATGATATGACTTGTTCATGTTTACGTAAGATATTTCTGAAACACCCTCCCTGCCGATCATACGGCGAAAAGCTTAATTCCAAAAGACAGAAAAGCATAAGGCGGAACTTAAAAGAAGTCGAGATTTTGAAAAGACTGAATCTTCAAATGGCAGAATGCCAGAAGGCCGAAAAGGGTACGCGTGGGGCAAGCTCTGGTCTCTTTGCTCGTTACGTGCCCATCCAAGAAAAATAAAGTTTTGTTTTGGTGACCGAAAAGTTATTCCTATTTTCAATTAAACACATATAATCTCAAAGTTTCTATAGGGGTTTAATCATACAAAGCAGATCGCAAGCTGTCATGCTAAATATACTGCTTTTGAGTCAAAAGTTATTATACGTCGTTTGGTGGCCCCCTAATGTTACTTAAGTCAAAGTGTATTTACCAGGATATTCGGGAGAATTATCAATCAAAAGTCTCCTTACGTGCAACCCATTCATTATTTTAGGACCACCGAAATCATCATCACAAACAATTGACCACTTTGTCAAGCAGTTTTGGCGTGACTTTTTACCAGTGATTTCACAAAACTGAACCAACTAATTTCTATTTTTTATGAAACGCTCAAATGTTGGCTTCTTTTCTTGTGGTTCTAGAAGAAAAAAATATCAAAATAATGTTTTATTTCAAAGTTCGAGTGGTAGTAAATGTCATTTCAACTGCTCGAATGAATTGGTTGATTGATTTATCTTTATTTAGGAGGCTTTCAGCCGAATGAAGTGGTTAATTCGATTTATTCACTTTATTAATGAGAAAGCGAACGACGAACGTACAGTTTTCTCTGTGCTGTTACTTAAGACAAACGGCATCCCCATAGAAATCGAGTGACTTAAGTAACATCGAAAAATATTTTGATCGGTGGTTACGGCAAAAAGCAATTTGACTGGTAAATAAATTTTAAAATGGGATGTAATCCTATATTCGTACAGTATATAGTGTAATATCAGGAGCATCGATTGACACTGATAGCATCGACGAAACGACGTGACAGCTCATAGAAGCTACTTTTAAAATCTTGTCCAAGACGCCATATTTAAAATACGTTAAACACTACGACTATCTACTCATCCGATCAAGACATATCATGAGCAAGGACACGAACACACGTAACATTGATACTAACTTGGTTTGCGTCTCACCTCGTTTGACAGATCTGATCGCCCGTTTGACAGATCTAATCGCTCATTTGACAAATCGAATTGCGGACAAACGAAAACGACTTTGTTCACCTTTGTTACTTTGGACGTAATGAAAATTTGCTCTTGAAACATAGAAACGTACTTTTATTACTTGTCCTAAGTAAATTAAGTAGCGAAAAATAGCACATGTCACTAGTTAGATACCACTCCTCACGTACCTACATCTAGATAGAGCTGGAATTAGGGCCTAACAGCTTTTGTAAACAATGACTTCTATCGATGATTCCTAGAAATTCAAGACTCACCCACGCAAACCTAAGAGAAGAGATGACAATACGGGGGCGAAAATGAACCACTTTTTTGTCAAACGTGAACCAGCTCCTGATTGGCCGATTTCATGTGCGTACGATAGAGATAGATAAAGATAGAGATAAAAATAAAAGAGGAAGAAGCCAATTGTCACCTCTTCCTCTTAGACGCAAACCAACATCCTCATCAGGTGGGGAAAGACTTCACCTATCCGATGGATATGTTGGTCTGCGTGAGCGTGCCTTGAGTTCCTAGAAATCATCGATAGAAGTCATTGTTTACAAAAGCTGTTTCGCCCTAATTCCAGCTCTATCTAGACATATCAATTTCCTTCCGTACGAAGTGAGTCGTCCACTTGGTTATCCTCCGGTTATTATTGCGTTGCTCCATTCCCTCGTGATAACTCCATGCCAAATTAGCGGTAGAGATCTTTCTTATTGGCTCGTCACTAACAAATTCTTCGTTACCAACTGGAGATAGAACTTCAACTGGAGATATAACCACCGACGGGAGAGGTAGGGCAGGACCATGTCGATTATTAACATCAAACCGATATCAAATTCCGATTATCGTTAATATCGGATTTTAAATATCGGTTCTTTCCTTTTATTTAACGTCGGTCTCTGTTCCGCAGTCTAGTGCCAATCACTGACGAACATCGATTGCAATCCATTGACGACAATCGAATGTGCAGGAAGGCAGCTTCCACACCTGCGTAGGATACAGCACCCATTCAACACCCATGGGCCGGGACCAACGGCTTTACTTCCCTTCCGAAGGAAGACGTGACCAGAGATTTTTATGCCTCAGAAAAATCCCACCGACCTCGGCTGGGATTGAACTCAGACCCATTGGGGTGAGAAAGCAGTCCCGTTTCTAAATATCGGTTATCGTATCAATAATTTAAACCCGATATTTATCGATAATATCGGACTTATCGATATCGTCACAGCACTGACTCCAGCCTCTTTTTACAATTTCATTTTATTTTTATTTTGCATTTTGAAAACCACCTTATTTTCCTTGGATTGATCTGTGATTTTTTAAATGCATTAAATTTGGTTTAAAATTAAGATCACATGATCAAAAATTGGGGCGAAAAAAGAGGGTGGAGTACGTCTTAAATGGGAATAAAGGTATTATTGGAAACCCCAATTGAGTTTCACATAAACATCTCGAATCATTATTTATGCGCAACAAGTAGTCCACAAAATCCCAGTCTTATCCAACAACAAACTGTGGCTTCATGTTATCCTAACCTCCCAAATTAAGTACATCAGCAAACAATAGAACAGGCCAAGCATATTTAGTACATTCTCACCTTTGAGCACCGATTGCAGCGCAAAGGCAAATGTTCGGCCATGATGTGTTGAACTAGTAAATTAGTTGGCGTTATCTTGGTATCAATTCGCAGCGGGAACGGTCGATTGTTGCAGATGTAGCAAATCTGTCGTATGGCTTTCATTTCCTGGTGGGAGTTGTCTTCATGCTTTTGACGACATTTTGCACAGCAAAACACCTGCCCGCACGTCTTGCATTGAACCTGAGGAAAATAAGAGTTTACTTTACAAATCAATTGAAATCATTAGTTGTTCAAAGTCATTACCTCTATAGGAACCTTCATGGTTTACGCTTCATCCAACAGTACACAAGTAAAGAATAATGGCGACTCAGACACTACATATGTCAAATAGCATCTTCTATTGTTGCGGGGCTTGTTGCCAGTAACTACACTTTGCCGACTTAAATCCTTTTTATTCGCTTTGGTTGCATGGGACCAATGGTGTTTTGTTCAGCTGGCCCCGAAGCCTTTTTTGGTGCCGTTCGATTCAAATACAAACGATAATCCGCTTCCCGTTTCCGTTGAAACAACTTCTGTCTTAAATCTTCTGCTGTCTCCCGTTCCGGTGCGTAGGATATGTGCAGAATTCCTCCGTAGAAATTCTTTGCATCCAAGATTTTTTTGGCTCGGCGAGCTTTGTCCAGTTTCTCAAATCTAACATAAAACACGTCCGTAAAGGCTTCGACTTCAACTAAAACGAAAATAATTCAATATACCTAGGTAATACAACACTGTCGTCAAAACAAATATCCACTCACAGCTTCCGGAAGCCTTGATATTGTCGGTGACGTTCTGCACCAGTTGGACGTTGCCGTGTCGCCGTAGTTGGTCCTTCAATTCCCGCACTAGGTTAATTTGAGGTACTCCAAATACGAGCAGATGTCGAGACTCGTTCGCCACCGAGTATACCTGCAAGAAATGGATATTATTACATGAAAGTAAGTGGAAGGGCGTGTAAACACACGACCTTGAACCAAGAGCAAAATTCAATTTCCATTACCTTTACAGCGGTCAACTTGCGAGATTTGCGATATTGTGGACGAGTACGGCAATAATTAGATCGGATATGATGGTTCAAGTCTGAATTATCACTTTTTTCCGGATCACTACTCATCCTTCGGTGGAGTAGCGACAAACGTGAGGTTGTTCGCGGCTCGCATGTCGTAGTTTTGCGTTTTGCGAGGTGATTTTTGTTTATCAGGTTTATCTACACTGAGCGAATTTACCATGTCGTCATTGCATGATTAATCATTCAGAGCTATCCGATTTCTTTAACATCGAAAATAATATGAGATACCCGATTGACTGATAATTGACATTAAATGGGATGATTCATCATACATATCATAAAAGGAAATAACATCAACCACTTAATGAAGTACCGTTCAAATTTTGAAAGGTATTAACAATAAATTAATTCAAGAACAGAAATGAACTAAAATCATCCAAGTGAACCCCATAACGAAAATCATACAACAACTGTCATACGATTCATTTTCTTGTCGTTTCAGTCTCCCATTGCGTTTTGGCCTTACCATTTTTTCGCAGTTTGTTGCGTCTCTCTCGAATAGCAGTACACAGTTTTTTCGCATACCACGGGGAGTGTCACCAAAAAGCGAAAGAGAAAAAAGTTTTCGGATTCATGTGGCAAAAAAATATCTACTCGTTCCGTTCCCGTTTGATTCGAATGCTTCAGTGCCCGTAGATTGTTCGCGATCCAGCCCCCCCTCGAGGGGGTGGTCAGCGACTTTGAGGAAAGCAAGTACCAAAACGCCGAACTGCGTCTTTCGTACTACGGCAAGTCGTCGAACGAGTGGAGTTTTACAAACTGGCCAAGTGGCCATCGACAGAAACGTGTAATCAAAACAACATCCGCAGGTTGATTCAAATTCCTAGACTTCAGTAAGTTACTGGGAGGGAGGTCCTTTGTTTCAAGCAATACGATTCTAACAAAACAAATTTATCTTCCAGTGATATCTGATGAGCTCGTTTAGCAGATTTTGGGACAACATTTTCAAACTGCTTTTTGAGGCCACAAACAACCCGAGCCAACATCCTAAATTGCACAAGTTCCTACAGAACGTGATTGGGTTCGATTCCGTGGATGACGAGTCCGAACCGGCGAATCCACTGTTCGATGGGGACGCCAGGGGCGAGGCCGGCCCAGTGCAGCATTTAGTGTGGTTGTTTTATCATAAATGAATAAAACAATTGTTCAGCTTATAAAACAGAAGTGTTTCATTTACAACATTAATTAACAGTTCCAACAATTTAGAAGAGATATATTTCGTTATGATCACAATTTTTAAACAGTAAAATAAGCTTTCTGCTTCCATATATTTTTCATTCAGATTGCACTTATATTTCATTTAAACGTTGCATGACAATTTATTTTGAAACTGTATGACGAGTCCGTATCTTTCTCAATGTTAATCATACGGTTTGTTCATTTCAAGTCTTCCTAAGAATGGATGATAATCATGCTAATGGTTTACAGCGTGCAGAACGAAAATCATCCTGTTTAAGAATTAATGCTATTCAGTTCTTCTGTGCTTTGAGAGCTGAATCAGAGAATGATAATCTTTCACAAATAGAAAAATAATCCGTATGGGGCTCAAGTGAAGCAATAATCATACATTGATGTATGGACAATTTGGTTCAGTGTACTTTTTCCCTTTTTATGGTGCGTTTAGCACTTCATCAAAAACATTGACATTTTGGGAGTCAGAAATCACAGGGTCAAACTTCGGAACAGGTTCCGAACTGACAGCATACCTCAGCATAATATTCTAAACTTATAAGGCTGTGAACCCAATTTTCTGAGTTAAATGTAACTCGTGGTTAAAAGTGACATTTCGAAAGTTATTTTCTGTGTTCTAAAATCCCTGCGCTGTCGATCGACCGGTTTTCGAGCCACGATTGTCAAAATTTAACTTCTTGTCTGTCAGAAATAACCATGCTCGGATAGCAGAGTTGATTGATAACTTTCCATCTGACAAATTTTAACCAAAAGTTAAAAAAAAAAATGCGAAATGGTTCAGAGCCTAAATCACGTCAAAATAAAGTTGGGTAAACTGTAGTCGGTCTTCTGAAGATTAATCGGTACATTGTAACTGGACAACGAGCTGGACAGTAAACATTAATGCACAAAAAGAACAAAAATTGTTGCTATAAAAATAATGCATAGTCAAATTAAAAGTTTCCCGAACTTCGTAGTTTTAACAGGTTTCAACTATGACAGTTTTCAAAATTAAACTTATATTTTTGGTTTAAAAATGTTTCTTTCACTTTCGACTTGTAATTTTAAATGTGTTTTTTTTTTATAAAAGTTCACGCAGAAAAAACTATAGTCGAAACAAAAATATTTGAGGTAAATTTAAACGTACACTCAGTTTGTTCTGGCCATAACATAAATTAGGTTGATTTCAAACGTATTCCATGTTTGAAATCATGTGAAATCACTTAAAGACTTAAAATTAATGTTACGTTTATTTAAAAAATATTCGTGTTGAAAATAAACGTAATTTGTCGGTTTTTGTTTGGTTTGTCAGCTATGCGATCAAATATAAATATGTTTATTTTAAAAATGCTTCTCATGTTTAAAATAAACATAAATATTTTGAAATTATTTTAGTTTAGTTGAGTGCAGGGTAAAGCAAAATAAAACGGTTTGCAAAGAAATGAAAAAAAAAAAGATCTTCGGGCAGGGCATCTAAATTCCTGCTCTTTTTCGGGTGCGATACGGTTACCTGTGGGTATTGGTTTGATCTGTGGTATTGGGGTCCTGATCCAGGATATGAGGACCCGTCGGGGTGGGTGTCCGGGGGTTCCAGTTCAGTGGAACCGGTGCAAATTTGTGTTATTAGCGTCGTTTTGCCGTTTCTGCATCGATTTCTGCCACTGGTCTTTATACCGGTTTCTTTCTATGTTCGGTGTCGGAGGAGGATCCGGAATGAATTCGGAATTGATAGCCGTTTTCTGTTGAGGTTGAGCAACCCTAATAAAATAGTTATGGTTATTTAGCTTAACGACGTTTTCTGGGTATAATCCAAACCATTTGTGGAATGGTTCAATCATTTGGGTTATCATTCGATTATGGTACTTTTTTATTAGGGAAAGCTGGGTAACTTTTTTCCGAATGCAACAAGAAGGAAATAAAAAGGCATGATACGCTGAAATCTGTTTACCCAAATCCTATCCAGCTTTCCATGCTCGGTAATGGCGGCCTGTTTGTATCAATACTCGATGAACATTTCAAATGGTCCTATCTGCTTTGATCGATTCTCTTCATCGATTTTCTCTTTTCATAACCACTGCTATGCAAACAGATTTCGCGCTAATTCTACCACATAGTTTGATAAAGAAGGTTCTTATCTAGCGTCCAAAACGTCAATTACAACAGGGAATGGTTTTGCAACTGAGTTATTGACGAAAGAGAAAGTCGATGAAGAGAATTGATCAATGCAGATAGGACCTTTTGAAATGTTATTATAAATGTATCCTTCACTGTGCTTTTGACACTAACTGGAGGGCGTATGTTGTTTCATTTTCTTCTGTTCCTGGGAGAGGGAAAGGGAGGGGTCAAAATCCGAACCTCCAGATAGCACAGTGAATACATTTATTCATACAAACAGGCCGCCATTACCGAGCATGGAAAGCTGGATATTGTTGAAATAAACATGCTTTTGAACGAGCTTTTGAATTTAATGCAAACATAAATATTGTCGCTAGACTTGAAAACCGAAATGACCAGCTCACGACAATCGATTTTACTCTTGTTGTGTACGTTAAAGATAACGTCGCATCAAGTGCGAACTATAGCTCATCATTTGACGAATACAGCGCACTAGATGCGACGTTATGTTTAACTTACATAACGAGAGTAAAATCGATTGTCGCGATTTGGTCATTTCGGTTTTCAAGTCTAGCGACAATATTTTAGTTTTAAACATGCTATCAATTGACTTTGAATAATTCATATGATTAGAGTATAAACATTTATGTTTTTGTTTTAAATGAACAAAATTCGTATCCATGTTCGCAAAATGTTTTCTTCTGGAAAAAAAAATTCCAGATGAAAACAAATCACTGACACAATCACACTTTGGCAATCTCTATAAAATTGCACTCTTGTGAGAGCTCAATATTAAGTAAAAAGAACTCAAATTTTGGATAGTATTTTTTTCCGTGTATCTTACAGTTCCTTGAACTCAATGAGTACACGGAGATGAAAAACAACCCAAAATTAAGTACTTTTCCCCGAGGGGCAATTCACTGCTCTCAAGAATGAATCGAAAATACGTTTATGAAAAAAATACACAAAAATTCATCATTACTCGTCATTACTAAAAAAAATGCAAAAAAATACAAAATTCGGAAAAAAAAATACAAAAATATTCGACGAATAATAAAAATACAAGATAATTCGTCATTTGGACGAAAAAATCGAAAATATGTACAATCAAAATGCTGAATTCGAACAAAATGCGTAAATTTATTATTTTGTATTTTAATCCGAGCTCGAATCACAAAACAATGCATTAATGAGTAGAATTTCGCCCATTTTTAAGAAAAGTGCCTTAAATCATTTATTAAATAAAAAAAAAACATTTTGAGTAGTTGTGAGCCACAAACAAGTAACGATTATTCATTAATGCGTAACAGATGCTTATTAATGCGTAATGAGCGAGGTAAGGGGCTGTTCATAAACTACGTAGACAATTTAGGGGGGGGTATGGCAATTATCCGCGGCCCATACAAATTTTAAAAATTTTGTCTGGACAATTGTCTACGCAGGGTTTGGGGGCGGAGAAACCTAAAAAAACTGTCTACGTAGTTAATGAACAGTTCCTAATGAGTTAATGAGTTAAGCCTCTTTTCTTTAAAATGGGTGAAATTCTACTCATCAGTGGGTATTTTAAAGTTAGCGTGTGTTGTGCATTTGTCAAACAAAACGTCAACATTGTGAGTTTGATCCGTTTGATCATCGGTTCGAGTGGTAAACATAAACACTGAAATGGCAGAATACACTTATAACTGATTTCCAATACATTAATGCATAAAAATACACTTTTATTTTTATAATACACAAAAAAATACATATATTCAAAAAATACAAAAAAATACATTATTACACAAAATACACGTTCATTCGATAAAAAATACTTCAATACGTTCATCAATGCATTCATGTTGGCCTGAATCGAAAATACACAAGTGAATCGCCCCTCGCTTTTCCCTCAATTCCGGGGTTCAGCCCAATAACCCAGATTTGAGTAAATCGCATATAGTAGTTTATATTTAACACCAGCTAAAAAAATACCTACTCTTAAGTATATTATACTCAAAATTAAGTTTAATTCACGTAAATTTGAGAATATGGAATTTACTCAAAAGTAACTTATTGGGCTGAACTATATCGTTGGGTCGAATCTCTCGTTCCTTTTTTTGACAACAATAACGAGTGCAAGTGAGAGGCTGAAGTCAATATTAAGTAAAAAGAACTCAAATTTTGGGTAGTATTTTTTCTCCGTGTAGATTACCGAGGTGAAGCAATCAGTTGAGTTGAGTACACTCAAAAAATATTGAAATCTAAATAGTATAAAAGTTACGCTAAATAGCAACTCTCCGTACCGACGCAAAGGTCGGTATAAAGGGAGAGAATGCAAAATTAGTATAAAAATGGTTTATGCGTGCCATAGTATAAAATCGAAATATACTCACAATGCATAGATACGGTTTATTCAAGAGAATGTATTTTTCGCTTCTTTATTTCATTTATGGTAAATATTATTGTTTTCAAATGAAAATAAAAATTGTCTCAGGAAGCTTTTTTCATTAGTTTATTTTTTATTAATAATATTTAAAAAAATACTTACAATTTCGATGCTGCCCAGCAGATTACAGGCGCAGTAGAAATCCGCTGGGACAAAGCCCTTCACCAGCACGAAGCTCCGAAGGGAATCCAGATGTTCTTATTCCTGTAATTTTAGTAAACACTGATCGAATTCCACTCCGTTATTCGGACTTAGTATAATTTTGACGAAAATTTTAATCGAACCAATGTATAAATTTTGAAAAACCATAAAATGCATAAAATTTAATCTATATTCGTTTTGTAATATTTTTGAGTGTAAGTGAAACCCCTATACACTCAAAAATATTACTAATCTAAAATAGATTAAAATTTAATCTTTATTTTATTTAGCTTTGTTTATTCATAGCTTTGATTAAAAAGTAATCTATTCCACGTTTGTTTTTATGCATGAGTATGAATAACATGTCATAGTTCATGATTATGCATAAAAATTTGTTTCTCTGTTTAGCTCTTGTCAATAATCGACACAAACCGCCTCAAACAAATATTGTTTTCCATCTGAGCTTCAAATGAAAAAAAAAAAAACTGCAGTAGGTGTTTATAAAACATTAATTAAATGCAGCAACATAATTTTAGATGCTGATGTTTGGCTATCCACAGCAAAAGATCATCGAAGGTATTAGCACAGACAAACAGACATAACACTCATAAGTTGTTCATCGAACAAGCATTTAACGGTCAATTTGAAAGTATCTCAGTTGGTAGTACTGCCACCTGTGGCGCGCATAGAAAATTCCCTTGCGTTTGACGTTTACACACTACCGCCATCTATGCAGCGTACTACCCACCACAGTGTACTCAACAGGTGGCGGTAATGTTTTAGCGACGATGTTTTACAATAAGAAATATTCAATGTGTTATGTCTGTTTGTCTGTGGTATTAGGTACGAGTTTTTTATAGAACATTGGTCATTCATCATTGCTTTGGAGTGAATCACTGTCGCTGTGGGATTCCATGCTTTTGTCGCTGATCATGGGGATATCAAGAACAAAAAAGAGTTCCGGTGAGGGAATCGAGAAAGGTGAGAATATTCTGTGGTACGGTGGGTGAGTCTGATTCAAAATGTTTAATTATTATCAGGTATTTTTGGACTTCTATCGACATCCGCCAGCTGCGATCATACTGGAGGGAACCGAATTGCCGTCGCCACAAAATCGATGAAGCGAAAAATACTGAACTGGATGATCTGTGTAAAATAAAAACGTATATCCATACGGTTCGCTCTCTACACCTTTTTGTTTATGTTTTTCAATCATAACAAACCACATGAAACTGAAAAATAATCGGATCTGGCGAATAATCGCATAATATACATATGAAGAATACCTCAATTTTATACTATCCAATGTATAAACCAGTTTTATACTAAGTTAGTATTATCTCTCTTTATACCAAGCTATGCGTCGGTAAGGAGAGTTGCGATTTAGCGTAACTTTTAATCTATTTAGATTTGAAAATCCTTTGAGTGTACGATACAAGCAATTAGTGACGTCACTAATTGCGTGTACGTTGATTTTTTGGATTACTAGTCCAACCATATTTCACGATCTGTATTACCTCTCTCTGGAATTGGCGTTGTCGGCACCGTCGAAAATTCAGTTCCAACATTTCAAAGGGGCGTAATTGCTTTTGTAAACAATGACTTTAGCCGTCAATTTCTCGCGAATGAAATCTTACCTCTCCAAAATAACAATGCTAGCTGGTAGAGGAAACATTCCTCTACCTGCTGGTGTCATTATATTTCATGAGTGAGATTTTATTCGCGAAAATTCGACGGCTAAAGCCATTGTTTACAAATGCAATTACGCCCCTTTGAAATGTTGGCACTGAATTGTATTTTCTTGCAAATATTGACAGTTTCTTATACACGGAGATGAAAAACAACCCAAAATTAAGTACTTTTCCCTCAATTCCGGGGTTCAACCATAGAGGTAACTCTAAGACCACTGGGTCCCGAAGAAAATCATTATTATTTTTGGCTCACTCAGTACCAGAACAACGGTCCCAAGCAGTCCCAAGCTATTTCACTCACCCCTGCATGTTCTGCATGAATCCACACACCCCTGATGTTATCTGTCAAACTTTCATAGCGAATCAAAACAAACATAGTGTAGTAATAGAATTTCAACTAGAATAGGGTACGTTAATCGTTTGCTTGGGACCAATAGGCTACTAAAGTGGTGAGCCAATTTAAAATCGTTAGTTTCGTATTGATTGTTGGTTCAACCCAATAACCCAAATTTGAGTAAATCGCATATAGTAGTTTCCATTTAACAACAGCAAAAAAATTACCTACTCTTAAGTATATTCTACCCAAAATTAAGTTTAATTCACGCAAATTTAAGAATATGCAATTTACTCACAAGTAACTTATTGGGCTGAACTATATCGTTGGGTCGAATCTCTCGTTCCTTTTTTGACAACAATAACGAGTGCAAGTGAGAGGCTGAAGTCAATATTAAGTAAAAAGAACTCAAATTTTGGGTAGTATTTTTTCTCCGTGTAGGATTTTCTGATGGAGTGAAAGGGTAGTACAAAGTGAACCTTGTTTCACACACAGTCTGACGTTTGCTTATGGATTTTTACGCAGGACTAAAGAGCTACAGAGTCGCCTTCAACCTAAGAGGCCTTCAACGCCAATTGGCGTTGACGGCGACTCTGTAGCTCTTTACTCCTATGAGAAAATCCATAAGCAAACGTCAGACTGTGCGTGAAACATGGCGGACTTTGTACTATACTTTCACTCCACCGAAAATTCCCATAAGAAACTGTCTATATTTGCTGAAAGAGCAAATTTTTCGACGGTGCCGTCAACGCCAATAGCCAGTGCGTGAACTGGCGGTCATGCTTTCTTAACGCTCAGATTGACAGTTGAGGTTAGGATTTGTTGGTAGAGTGAATGAATAAGATACAATCCACCGTCCCCCACAAGAGTAAAGAGCTATATACCAACTTCGTACAAGCAGGTAGAAGCTATTTTGTCGTTAAAGCGAATGAAGTAGAAAAGCGGATGTTCTCGTAGTGAAAAGCGCATAAACGTGATCATTTCTAAACCAGCAGCCGCCAAGAATGATTTTTCATTCTGCTGGAAAATATTCAAAATTCAATCGTTGAAACTAAATGTGACCAAAAGTGAGTGAGTAATCAAGCTATTCTTCGATTGAATTTATCAATAGCAAAAAAAGTGTGATAAACCTAGCGTAATCTGGTGAAATTTCGTTCAGAATTAACCTAACCTCACAAATAGAATTGATTTCACCATATCGAGCTATGGGGCGCGGTAGACCGAAACGTGAAAATCCTTCCAACGGAGACGCGCCAGCAGCTAAAGTGGCTCGATCCAGCACCACTAAATGTAAGTCTTTCTTTGATTTTTGATTTGATGCGAAGTAATTGAGGGATATTTCCAGTTGAACTTCCCCTGCCTGTTCTACCCAAGCCATGCGGAAATGTTCTTTCTTGTGGTCAGGGTGAAGTTGGACAGCTTGGTCTGGGGGAAGATGTAATGGAAAAGACACGACCGGCCATGATCGACAGGCTGAAGGACATCGTTGACATATCAGCTGGTGGAATGCACAACCTATGCCTCACCCGGCGGGGGGAGGTGTTTTCCTTCGGATGCAACGACGAAGGTGCCCTGGGCAGAGAGACGGCCGACGAAGAGGGTTCGGAATTTTTACCGCGTAAAATTGCACTCCCGTCGGAGTGTCTGAAGATATCAGCCGGAGATTCACATTCCGCATGTCTGCTCAACGATGGACGCGTCTACGCTTGGGGCTCGTTTCGGGTAAGGCACAGGGTTTGGATCTGGTAAACTATTACAAGATCGTTAACATAACAGCTGTTGCTTGGCTGAGCGGTTGTATTTTCCCGCCGTTTGTTGATTTAAAAGCGCATTTCCTTGTTTAGTCACCCTCTTTAGACGAACCGGTTTGTTGCCGAATTTCTTGGTTTTCTGCGGTGAAGGGATAATGCATATACCATCCCTTGCTTTGTCTTTTGGAAGGGACGCATTGTCCTTTTTTTACCTGTACCGGCGTCTTTGAAAACGTAGGTACCTCTCTAGCATCAGTCAAGGGCGGCATTCAATGTCGTTGTTGTATTATATTTGATTCTATAGGTAGTTTCATGTCTTGGAAACATAGTTTATAAACCGGCGGAGGAAGGCGACGTCATGTTTCGAGTAGAACTTTTCTGAGCTCTGATACAGGGCACGGCCGTTCAAAGCTAGTGTTAATCTCGCACTTGGAGCACCCACACGAGTACCCCATGTTACTCACTGCACCTGCTTCGGGAAGGTCTGAGATAAAGCATGTAGAAATGTTTCAGCAAGGCACTTCCTTGAAAGGAAGGTTTCGCTACCAGAAAGTACATGTGTGTACGTTTGACTGTCCTCACTCCTCAACATGAACGATGTAATCGAATTTGCTTTTGCTAGTAAATTTAGCAGATTGTATCGATTTTGTTTTGTCTTGAGTGGATGTAAGTAATATCTTCGCTTTGGGCGGTATCACTTTTAATCAGTCAATTGAGAAAGCGAATTGCTAGCATTTTTAGTAAAATCTGCGAGCTATGATCTATTTCCATGGTATTCGATGTGTGCACATCAGCAATGCTATGGCTATGGGATCGTAGAACTCAATTCAGACTAGTCTAACACTAGCTTGGCCTTCAGTCTACAAAGACGAAAAGTTTCGATCCATGATGCTTCGTCTTTCGGAAGGATCAAACGTGGAAGGGTGGGTCGACAACGTTGGGGAACGTCAATTAACGGGCCTTACTTTTTTGTCGTTCCCAACAGGATTCACACGGAAACATGGGTCTGACGTTGGAAGGAAACAAGCGTCTACCAGTTGAGGTGGTTCGTGGCCTCAAGTCAGTTGACATTGCATCCGGTGGGGACCACTTGGTGATTCTGAGCGAAAACGGTTACGTCTATACGGTCGGTTGCGCTGAACAGGGTCAGCTTGGACGAATTTCTACACGTGCCGCATCTGGTGAATCTCGACGAGGTAAAACTGACCTTCTACAGCCCGGTGTTGTTACATTGAGGGGAAAGAAAATTCTAGCAGATGCCATCTGGGCCTCGACCTACTGCACCTTCTGCCGAGATCGCAATACCGCCAAAATATATGCCTTCGGTTTGAATAATTACTGTCAGCTAGGCATTCCGAATCCCAGCGAAAATGTCGTTAAACCGGTATTTGTACCGGAGCAGACGAGTTTCACAGATGTGAAAACAATCGCCGGAGGACAACATCACACGTTGATTTTAAAGAACGACAACAAAGTGCACGTGATTGGCCGTAAGGAGTACGGTCGACTAGGACTAGGCAATGTTTCGGAAGATGCCAAAACGGTGACCGCAGTTGGTACCTTAGCTGATAAGAATGTGGTTGAGATTTGCTGCGGAGAAAGCACATCGTTCGCTGTGACCGATAAGGGAGAAGTATTTGCATGGGGCATGGGCTCGAATCAGCAGTTGGGAACCGGAAGCGAGGACGATGAAATAACACCGGTACAAATCAGCAGCAAACAGGTACAAGGCAAACGGATTCTCAAGGTTTCCAGTGGTGGCCAGCACAGTTTGTTCCTGGTTGAAGAGAAGCCAACCAAGGTAGGGTTCATTTGAACTGGTAAATTCTTTCAATTTCCCTAACACTTAATCTTCCCGCGCTTTATTTAGGATCCAACGCCCGTGCCGGAAGCTCAGCCCACAGAACAACCGGAGGAAGAGAAATCTAAAACCAATGGTGATACCGATAAAGCCTCGACTTCGACCACGAAGGACGACGGTGTGAACGGTGGTTCTAAGAGCCAAGAGGAAGATGAGAAAGAATCGACAAGTGGTGAGACTGATGAAGTTGCGAAGAAGCCAGCCGGGCGGGGACGCAAGCGAAAGCTGTGAATGCAGAAGAAGAGGAATCGCTTCTTCAAATAGTTAGACCTGTTCAGTACTAGGGATTTTTTAGGTTAGTTAGAGAAAGGAACAATACTTCTAGAAACTAAGTGTTTAGTTTTGTAAACAATCATTTTATCATTTCATGGTAATCGTCTTATTAGACGATGTTCTTTCTGTATTATTTTTCTTTCCATTTTGTTGAACCTTTTCTGTTTCTACGAGCCAGTGTTTCTGTTCTTTAAACGTTTCTATTTCCATTTATATGTTCATCTCCGTCGGGAAGCCAGATGAAAAAAGGCACATGTTAGAACTTGTTACTTGGTATTTCTGGCATAAAAGAAAGAGAACAAATGACGTACATTGCTTCAACTTTGAAAATAATTTATTAAATCATTCACTGTTCAAAACGTTAAAATAAAATCCAAAATAACTCAAACAGAGTAATGATTGTTATTTCTTTATCGAGGAACTTATTTTCTATTGAATCATTTGCATTTGCAGAACCTTAGATGACCAAAGACTCTTTTATGCCGCGGATACACTTGTATGACAAACTATGAACATGACCATTATTTGTATAAAACATTATTAGCACATCCAGCACACTTGTATAGTTATTGTATAGTAGTATTATAGTGCTCATAATTATTATACAAATAATGCTCGCTCATAGTTTGTCATCCAAGTGTATCCGCGGCACAGAGCTGCCAGGTGGTTTTATAAAAAATCTGTATCCACTCTATTAAAAAATCTGTATTTTCTGTATTGACGATTTTTTTCTTAATTAATCATGTTTTGTTGTTTTACAAATACAGTGCATACAAAATAACCATAAAAAGTGCTTAACCACCTATTCGGGCTATCGTACTAACCATACGGGATATAATTGCGCCATTTGTGATATCGTCCGTACTTATTTATAAGAGTGATATGAAGCCGTTTGAAAATGTATGGAAATTTTAGTTTCTATTCATTATCTTCCTGATAAGCAGTTTTAAATGCAAAAAAGTGCACGAGTTCATTACTATTTGATATTTTTAATATACTACCGTGACGGGCGTGACTGCGTTTTCCGTTGGAGGGAGTGAGAGAAGCATAAAAGAAACAGCAACGCCTCGAGCAGATCCCACTGCAAAAAATATGGTTTTTAGCACAACAATTAATTTTGGAGAGAAGGGGGTACGCTGATAAAATCGAGCAAGTTATTTTGTTTTTATAAATCTTGAATTTTTTTTTCTCAAGCATTTTATAAAAATCTGTATAAATCTGTATTGTAATTTTAAAATCTGTGATAAATCTGTATTCTGTATCGGGTCTGTATTAAGATTAAAAAATCTGTATAATACAGATAAATCTTTATAAATGGCAGCGCTGCCGCGGCATTAGGGTAATCTAATCTAATATAATACCTACCCACACCTGAGGACCCACACAACCAGTTCATGAAATCATCCTGGAAAATGATGAATATAAATACCTCCATCGGATTGTACGACTTTTCCCCGAAAGGAACATTTTTCCGAAAACTATTTACCCGAAAGATACAATTTACACTGTACGATCTATTTAAATATGATCCTAGGGTTTGTTACAACTTATCTATATGCAATTGAGAAAAATATCTCTGGTGAATATTGATAAACAGAACAAAGTCGTTAAATACCCTAGATAAAGTTATGACTTGTTATGGCATTTGGCGCAGCGTTGGCAGATATACCGATTTCCGAACTAAATACCGATATACCGATAAGGTTTCTCAGACTACCGATTTTTTAAATAATCAAAATGATTATTACCTGCCCGCGCTTAGAATTTCGGATAAAATTATTGTATACATTATAAGAGACTTGCTTTTTCATCCTTCGCTCGCATGATTCTTCTATCTTTTCCCGCCAGTTTTTCAACTTTCCCGGAACTTCAGGGATGCTTCCAGATTTTGATTGCGGATCCACACTAGCTGCAATTAAGAAGTTCTGAAACTTCAGAAAAGTTCAGACTTTTGAGTCCAAGGAACTTCTAGAAAATTTAATGGTTTTCAAGACAGTTCCATTAGTTTCAGGAGAAATGAGCGAACTCTAGGAAGCTCCGAAAACATCAGGACAGACCAATAAATTTCAAGGAAATCGCTGAAGTTTTAAAGGAGTTCCGAGAAATTCAGGCAATTTCCGAAAACTTCAGCAATGTTCCGAGGAACTCATGCAAATTCAAGAAACGTAACATGAACATTTTTTATGGTAAGTTCTGTGCTTATTAATGGCAGTGTCTTTTAAAAATTAGAAAAATCGGGAAGATCAGAGAACTTTAATGTTGATGTTAAAAGCTCGGTAATAGGTGGGTATTGCGGAGTCGACCAGTTTTATTTTGCAAGCCAATGGAAAACTGCTTGAAAATTTTCTCAAGTTTAAAACCGGTTTGCTCTTTCTCAGTTGATTCCCGCCAAAAGTTCTGAGCCAGGAGTGCTCGAGCCCCCATGACTCTATCAAAGTTTGTTTACATACATGTTTCGCCAAAGTATGTTTTACTGTTTGAAAACTCAGCTGCCTCATAAAAACTATACTGGTTTTCATACTTTCATCACTAAGTCTGTTGGTTTTTTTATCTTTGAGCTTAAAATTAAGAATATGTTATGAAAAAATATAGATCATTTTTATGAGATTACAATAAGTTACAATTACAAGAACAGTAACTGCATTTGCTGCTTCTGAATGTTTGGCTCCCGCTTGACAGTTCACACTGGCTCCCAAGTGACAAGCACCTTGAGTGAGTCCGCAGTACTCAGGGTATAATAGCTTCCTTTGATTTTTGACGTTTAAAGATTGTAAACATATTATATTATTGTCATATAGATTTTCCTTTTAAGAAATCCAACAGTGAACATTTGTTTTGGCATGGTTTTCTGGGATGAATATCGCTCCCAATAAAATACATCTTACATGATTGCTTTTCATAAATAATTGAAACAATTTTCAACGATGTTCTCGTACACTCATTAAAATGATTAGTCGAACTAAATATAGCTAACAACAATGATACTGTATTGAATAATCCTTGTTTGTTATGGTTCCATAAGATAAGGGGTTCCGGAAAAGAATGTATTAAGATTGAAAAAAATATTCTACTGCAATATTTACTTTGCTTAGAGTCGGTGTATAATGAGTCACGCCAAGAAAAAAACAGTTGAACTCGCATCACGGTTTTCGAAAGATTCCCTTTCTTTTAACTTGGCAACAGAGGACTTCTCCATCAACTTCAAATGACTTCTAGCGAGGAAAAAAATTACCGGCTGTAGTAAATCATTATATCAGTGATTTTGTGGAATTATCTTAAGGAAAAATAGTAGAAATTGTAATTACTGATCATTACAAAACGTATCGCATGACAAATGTAATGCTCACTGCGTGTATATGATCATTTCTTCGGTGATATTTAATATTTAATTGCAATACCTTTCGTGGACCTTTCATAGCATCGTAATGCTTGTTTACTTTGCACGATAGGTAGCCGGTTTGACAGTTCAATAGGTAGACTTGGCTTCACTCTTGGCGTGACTCATTATACACCGACTCTAACTTTGCTAAGATTCTAATTGTAAGCCTTCTACACACACTCAAAGATAAATTAAATAAAAAAGCTTAAAAAGTATGCAGATTCCCGTTTCACCTTATTGAGTCCGAGCCATGATTACTTCGGCAGTAGTCATGCATGATTAAAATCGAAATAATCTTTCCAGTATTAAATTTTATTCTTTTTCAAAGCTGATATATAATCAAAAAGGATTAAAATTCAATCAAAAATTATTAAATTGAATCAAAAATGATTAAAATTTATTCAAAAAAAGATAATCTACCATGATTAAACTGGGATTAATATCAGATGCTTATTTTTTAGAAAGAGATGATTAATTTTTAATCATTCGATATGATTAAACTGAGTTTAATGTCAAATTGATTAAATTTCAAGCAAAATTAGAATACACTGGAGTCGCTTTTTACGCGGGTGATACGTCCCGCGTAAAAAAAAACCGCGTAAAAAAAAACCGCGTAAATTCCGGAATCCGCGTAAAAAAAAACCGCGTAAATTCCGAAATCCGCGTAAAAAAAAACCGAGTAAAAAAAGACCGTGTAAGAAAAAATCGCGTAAAAAGCGATATACCGCGTAAATTCTGAAATCCGCGTAAAAAAAAACCAAAATCCGCGTAAAAAAAAACCGCGTAAATTCCGGAATCCGCGTAAAAAAAAACCGCGTAAATTCCGAAATCCGCGTAAAAAAAAACCGTGTAAAAAAAAACCGTGTAAAAAAAAACCGCGTAAAAAGCGACTCCAGTGTAGTTCAATTTGTCAGTGCACCTAGAAATTATCGCCGACTTCGGTATTTTTTACCGAAATCTGAACAGCTGAACTGTTCGGTAAAAGCTACTTTGAAACTAAATCTCTACTAAAATGACAAAATTTGATCATATAAACAAGTTTGTTCATGTTTCGAAACTATTTTCAAATTCAATTGCCTTTAAAGTGAAGGTCAAAGTTTTACCGAATGTTCAGTTGTTCTGATTTCGGTAAAATTTACCGAACACGGAAACAAAATCTTAGTGTGCACGGCTAATTCAGATTCCAGCACTAGTACTCGAACTTCATAAACCAGTTCCATGAACTCATATAATGTAGTCGTTGTTTTATTGCACACAGGAGCTTTAAGAAAGATTTGAATACACGACACCACCGAAACGGAGCATACATTTGTCAGTGCTATTTTTCTTCACTCACGTTGCACTACATTCCATGTCGAGAGAGCTGTTACTTACTTACTTCATGCTAATTGAACGAGCTCAATATTGAAGTCAGCATTGGCCCAGTGGAATCAAGTGCAGACACCGAAAGCATCACACCTTAACCATAGAGGTAACTCTAAGACTAGTAGGTCCCGAAGAAAATCATTATTATTTTTGGCTCACTCAGTACCAGAACAACGGTCCCAAGCAGTCCCAAGCTATTTCACTCACCCCTGCATGTTCTGCATGAATCCACACACCCCTGATGTTATCTGTCAAACTTTCATAGCGAATCAAAACAAACATAGTGTAGTAATAGAATTTCAACTAGAATAGGGTACGTTAATCGTTTGCTTGGGACCAATAGGCTACTAAAGTGGTGAGCCAATTTAAAATCGTTAGTTTC